ATGTTGGTTATTTAAATCACTTTTGATGGAGCCTGCCATTTTTTTAAGTATCTTCCTTACTCCTATAGGAGGATTTCTTAAACTTGAGAAAGAAATGTGTTGAATCTTTTCAAGGGAAAAAGATCTTCTTGTAGCTTCTACAGTGTTGACTTATTTTTATTACAATGTTTATATATATGTTAACACAAAGCTAAGCAGAGTCTCCTTAGAGTTAGATTTTTTTATGTAACTATAAAGCAAAACCAAAATGACAGATCATGCACACCAATACATATACTAATAAAGTTCAAAATAACAACATTAATTCAATTGAGAGATGATGCTGTGTTTTGGAAGTTAAAATGCTGCTTGGAGTGTGGAAGTATTGTCTGCTAAGGCGCAGGTGCTTTTAAGTCCAACATGCCTACTCTGCTAGTGTAAAGAATCAGTTTTCTCTCCACTCTTCTTACTCAAATGGCAATGAGATTTTCCCTTGCATTTTATTCCCTGTCATCATCTACTTTATACTGGGCAGGAAAACATCGTTCATTTATGAAGTCCATCTCTGCTGGTTTTTTTGTTTGCTTGTTTGTTTTTGTTGTTGTTGTTGTTGTTGCCTTGACCCAAAGTAGTTTTGCTCCCAAATGTGGGCAAATACAATCATCAATACAAGTATTCCACTCATACTTGAAATGTTTATTTTAATTTTTAAAAGATTTTTATTGAAATGAAAACAGAAATTATTGAGGTAATTTCTTGGACTTCTAAGATTATACTAGATCCCTGGGAGTTAGTGGATCCCAGCTTGGCTTCCACCTTTAATTCAAATATGAGTCCATTTGTATCTCTACTCTTACTAATCTCAGCCTCAGAACACCCTCCTCTTGGCTTCTGTTCCTACTTTTCTATAATCCTCTCTTTGGAAAATGTTCTATAGCTTCTCATGCATTGGGGAGATTACTGTTTTCATAGATTTGTCTTTGTTGATCCATTCAATTTTCAATCATTGACCTCATTACAAATGGATGCCTTCTAAGAGACAGCCACATACAAGGCAACCTAAGTCCTAGAGTCCCCACATCTTTCCAAATATCAGATCTCCTTCCCATTATGTCACTCTTGTTAGGTGGGTAGTTTAGTTATGAGCAGGTGGGTAGAGGGGGGACACTAAAGGGCAGTAACTTACAGGATGAACATCAGACATAGTCATCAAGGAAAGTCCACAAGTCACGGGACTGAGGATAACATAAAACTTTATCAAAGCAGATAAGCATCAGGAAAATGGGTACTGGCTCATCAAAACTCCTTCAGACATAGTTAATTATAACCCATTAAGGGAACTATTGCTTCAAGACCTTATCTCTTGTGACCAGGTCTTCATGACTCTCCCCTGTGACCAGGTCATTGCTATCCTCACAAAGAAAAATTGCTGAGGGTTATGCAAAGGGGTAATAAACCATGTGGGGGGGGAGGTATGAGAAATTGAGTCAAGAACAAAGGGACCCAAATCCTTTAAAAACTTAGACTCTATAAGAGCTATATTGTTCTCTCTGGAAGTGCCTATATGGTGTGTCCTTACCTCACTCTCTCTAGAAACCTCTGCCTGTTAAAACTTGCCTGAAATCTTCCCTGCTGCTATAGAGCCACATGGTGGCTTCAGCTCAGCAGGTCTCCTCGGCAACACCCTGACCACTAAACTCCTCTGAGTGACTTCAGAGTTCACGCATCTCCTAAGGTAAGTTCACCCTTTAATTTAGTGAGATATTGCAGTGAACCTTTGCCATTCTTTTGTGACTCTGAACTTCTTTTTTTATTATTTCATGAACAATTATTAATTTAATGAAATTAACATTGTTATGAACACATAAGGTGCAAGCTCTCTCTTTCCAATAGACATTTAAGGTTGAGAGCCATCCTGGATTTTGAAAAGGCATTTCTGTGTGCCTATGTGCTTTCTTTGCCATTTTCTCAGTTATTGATGTAGCTAGATTTTGTGAACCCAGCATAGGTCGCCATCCCAGCTAGCTCTTGATAACTTTCCCCTAAATCATCTCAAGCCTATCAAGAGGGACTCCAAAGTCACTCATAGAGCTTGATAAGGATTCCTAGTGCTTGGGGGCCTGAAGACTAGTACTTACTTTTGAAGACAAGTCTTCTGGTGAGAGGCCAATTCAGCAGAGATGCTTGCTGGGCTAGGTTTGTTTGTTTGTTTTCTAATTAATGCACTTTCTGTATTTAACCACTTTATTTTAAGGATAACTAGAAATTAATGGAAATTTAAAATAGAATTACTTTTCTCCACTTGTTGCATTCTTTGCTTTGCAGTGTTTAATAGTTAGTCATTCTCTATTTCTATAAACATAAGTATACAAATGCTTATTCATTTACCTAAACTGTCTACTGTTGCTCTTACATTAAAATTATTCAGGATTTTTCTATAAGCATTTTTTAATGGCCATTTCCTAGACTCCCATATAAAAGACTTTGGATTTTTAGAGTTTTGGGATTATGAAATGAATGACTTCATCTTCTTGAGTCCTACCTAGCCAAGTGACATTCTCTGTATATAAAGTGTGGAACCATCAATGCCTTTACAGTTAGCAGAACCTCAGCTTTTGTTACATTTCCTTTGAAAGTCTCATGTGGTTATTAGTTGGTGAAGAATCTAGAACTATTGAAAGCAGTGGGTCTTCATGGGCTTTGAAAGCTCTGCACAGTCAGCCCACCATGGAAGTCCAAGGAAGAAATGCAGAAAGTCTGAAGGGCAAGCAAATGGCTTTCCTACCAAAGAGCACCCTCTGAATATACTGGACAGGTTGCTGACCAAGTCAGATGGTGGTGGCCAGTGTGTGGTGGGACTTCTGCTCTATATAGTTTTCCTACATTTTTGAACTACAGAGGAAGAACTTAAAAATTGTCTCAAAGGTGGTCTGACAATATTTACATGGAGTGGGACGTGGAGTGCAACATCTCTCAAACTCTGTGATTGAAGAGCTTTTATATTTTCACTGAGCATTTCATAGGACCACTATCCAAGGAGTTGGCTTTGGGAAGACCTGGTCCACATGATATAGGGGCACATTTGTCAAGCAGAAAGTTTCCCTTTTCAACCAGGTGTTTGTCATGTTGTGTAGATGGTCTCTGTTGGTGACTAGTGACCAATTGATAGTTTTTTGAGGTTAGGGGTGGGAAGGAAGGTGATGTGGTGGATTTTTATAAGATTTCTTTCCACCCACTTTTATGAGATGGGTGATATCTGAATCTCCAGTGATGCACAAAAGGAAATGGATTCTTAGGGAGGTTAATTTCCAGGCCCAAGCTCTCCAAGGGAGCAAGGCAGGACTGCACCGCATTGCTCTGGTGTGCTGGGGTGAGAGAAGGGGGAGATTGTTTTATCTGAGACAGAGGGAGGCTGCTAAAGGGGCAGGTTTGCACATGAAGAAGAATGTGAATTATAAAAGATAGCCTAGTGCAGCTGAAGCACCAAATCGAGCTTTAGAAAACTTGGCTGGGAATCTCTGCTTCACCACAATTAGCTCAGTGACCTAGAACTTGAACTCTCTTGACCTCAGTTTCATCTTCCATAAAGAAAGACAAGGTATCCCAATGCAGACCTTGGGTGACTGAGAGATGAAAGAAGAATCACCTGTACGGCCTTTCCGTTGATGTCTGTCCCCATGGACCCAGCTGTGAAGACAGCATTGGGCACTGTGATGGTGCTGGTTTCAGACAGGTGTATGTATGATGGGGGGATGTTCAGTTCTCGACTAGCCACCTGCCAGGGACAAAAGAGAAATTATTTCATTGGCTTTATGCCCACTTCTAAGTGAGAAAACTTTGCATTCTTTTTAGAACTGAGTATAAAACCCTGGCTGGCTGTCCTGCTAAGATGACAATAGTTAAGCTGGGTATTAAATGGCACCACCAATGATACACTCCTTTTTGGAGATATGTGGCCAACCAACCAGTCTTGCTGTGCTTCTTTTTATACCAGTTTTATGGAAGCCACATGGCAGAGTGATCATTCTGGGACACACATTATTGTTCTGAGCAGTTGCCATGAAGCCTTACAGTATTTTATCTTTGAAACTGGAGCTACAGTTTTCAGAAGATTCATAGTTCTCTCATATGCAGGAGGAATATTATATTTTTCTCAATTCCAACATCTACTTCCCTCACTCTACTGCATTTTTATGTTCCTGAAGTTAGGATGAGTATTAAAATTGACTTGTGCATTTAATGCTTGATCTTAGTCTGTAAGGTGATAAGCTCTCCTACAAGAGAGAACATGAGCACTTGTCTCACCTGGATCATTTTGGTGTTCAGACCTTGTCCTAGTTCACAGCCACCATGAATCAGCAGGACAGAGCCATCTAGATAGATGTGGACCAAAGCAGCTGCCTGGTGGAGATCATTGTAATACAGTTTGGAAACGGATATTGACAAATTTCACAGTCAGTTTAGCTGAGGACATAAAAAGCTGGTTATTCCAAATGAAGAATTCACAGAATTTGCACATGTTCCAGGGCCAGACCATAGGAGGGAGGAGGCTGGGCCACGTAGAGTGGTTCTGCAAATCATAGAATTTTTCTTGAGCTCAATCTCCATTGCACTCTAGCATATGGCCCAGGATCCTGCACTTACCTCATTGGGAACCTACCTTTATATGGATGCCTATGTCCCTGCCACAAAGCATTAAAATACCAACTAATTCATCTCTTCCATCTCCTGGATATGATCCAGACTTTTTGGATCATTAAGTTATCTACAGGAATGTTTAAACTGTGTTTTATATTCCTGACACTCTAACAAGAGTAATGGATGACCACGCATAAGTATTATCATGTGCCTCCAGAAAGTGTGTTATATTTAGTGATGATGACTATGTAAGCATCAAGTAGGATTACTTTAATTGATGGAGCATATTAGAGACAAGAGGTGGGACCGTGAGTCAGCACACCATCTGCAGACATTTAGGATAACACTTCAACATAATCTGTATAATTCACTCACACATGAAGGGGGCCTGTATGCTTTTCTTTGCAAAAGTTTGGTTATGGGGCATTTCAGCAATTAATGGGAATATACACAAAAATAAAAGAACAGAATCAGAAATTGAACCCCATGAAAAATTGATTATGGTTAAACTTAAAAAGAAAGCCCAATAGTCCCTGAGCCTCACAATAGAAAACTTCAAGTTTCTGTGTGACTTGGGCAGCTGTCTATTCTTATACTTTTGGAAGCTCTGCCTTCAAATGACCCTACTGCTCTCCAAGAAACTAGGAAGGTTTCTTTCTCTCACAGACTTGAAATTTGACTCCCTACTCAATACTCATGTTTGGGACCCTGCTACTAAAACCAGGAGCCCCTGAGCTAGACTGTATTGTTGATTGAGGTCCTCATGCCATGTCCTGCTAGGTCAGCCCTAATACCTATAGTCCCCATCCTTGCTTAAGCCTACTCTATCTCCTGCTAAAGGAAACTGCCCCAGTTTCTTCTCTGACCCCAGCAGGGACAACCCCTTGTTGCATATGATTGCCTTTTCCAGAGGCCAGTCATTTGGAACAGGGCTTTCAGGAGGACATCTCTCCTCACCTCACCTGAGTGTGGTAAGCTACGGGGATTCCAATGGTATATTTCATGGGAACAACGGAAAGCCCTCTCTTCTTCCAGTAATTTTTTTGGTTAAATTCCTCTGCAGCTTGTTTCCTAGCATAGAATGAAGATTTCTCCAGACATTCTTTCCAGCATTTTCGCAAGGGCTCAGGGTTAAATGTCTGCTTGTAGGCTGTTTTGCTAGTTCTCTTATACATGTTTATTTCTTTAACCTGAAAGACGATAAAGTAAAATGGATTTTAAGGATGAATGCTTGTTCCATATATAACAGCATTTTTGTTATATGTCTGATAGAGAGAAAATATTTCTAAAAAAGAAACAACTAAATACGTGGATATAAATATGCAAATGCAAATGTCTGGGTATAAAATTGAAATTAACGCAAAACAGAAACTACTATTGAACACTTTATATGCTCCAGGCATGAGTGTTTGTCTAAGTGTGTTTATCTCAATTAACTTCATGATGATCCTGAGAAACAGTAGACATTATTATTAGTCTTGTCACAAGTTTGTTAGTGATAAGTTCAAATTCTGGCTCAAGTCCTTTTACTCCTATATAACATTGCCTTGTGTCCTAATTATTTTCAAATTAGCTTCTCAAAGTCTTGACTGTGGTTAAACGTTTGCACAAATGGCTATAATCTTTCTACTCTATTTCTGCCCTGGGGTAGTTTCACACTGACTCTAGGATTGGTTTTGTGACTTGCTTTGGTTTTGTGACTTGCTTTTGGTTTTGAGACTTGAAAAGTATTGGCACATTGGGGCATGCCACGTTCTTGCTGCTCTTGGGAACTCTGGGAAAACTACCATGAGAATTAATATGGGCTAGCCTACCACAGCCTACTACTATAGAGCACTTTCCAGCCTTCCCAGGTGAGGCATTCCCAGATAAACCCACCAGATAGCTACCAGACAAGTTAATGAAGCCATCTGAGATCAATAGAGCTCCAGTTGAGCTGGCCCATACCAGAAGTTCTCCCCAGTTGACCTACAGATTCATGAAAAAATGCTAATTATTTTAAACCACTTGGTTTTGTGGTTGACTTACTACAAGAGCAAAAGCTAACTGATACATAGATATGCTTCAGTTTTGAGAAACCACACAGAGGCTGACATAATGCTATGTGTAGGTGCACAAGATACATTTGACCCAATGAAGCCAGCGTTTTATTAGGGGGGTTCTGACCGTTTACCTCTTCTGGAAGTAAGTTACATTGAGATGCTACAGCATTTATGTAAGCTTCTACTACCACCGTGGCCTGAGGGAAGCCAAATCCTCGAAAGGCAGTGTTGGATGGCAAATTTGTTTTGCAAACTGTGCCCCGGCATCGGAAATTTGGAATGTCATATGCATTTTCAGATTTCAGCACAATGAACTCCTGAACCTGGATTAAAGGGAAAAAAAAAACTTTACTTCTATCCAATATTCAAAACCATTTCTCTAAATTTTATTTTTAACACAAACCATTTAAGAATTTATCTAATTCATAAAATGAATATTCATGCAAATAAAGCATGGCACATATAGCCCCACTGAAAAGCTATGGAAAAGCTTGTTTCTCACCATCTCAGACTCATCAGGAGTGCATCCACCATTGATGTAATATTTGACATCAACAGCTTTGATCACACCATTGTTCATGAATCCGATCTGCAAAGTGTAGCAAGACAATTTTCTCAATTACACTTCTTTGCAACCTAACTGTGCTGTACACAAACACATCTGATCACAGTCATCCACCCTTACCTAGCTTATACGCATGGTTAGATATGACAGACACAGGAGGAACACTCAGGGAGAGCTCAAGTTGAATTTGATCCAGACAGAAAGTTCTGACTAGCTTTAGGCAGCATCCAAATATCCTATTTAAGAGGTAGGAATTGAGCAACTGTCTTTACTATTGATTGGTTAACACAATGTCTTAGTGGCTTGTTAAACCTGAAGGCTCTCACTCACTTTGTATTTTCCAAGCAGTGGGTGGCGGCCAGCGGTTATCAGCATGTCATCACCTCGCTCTAGGATGAATCTGATTGGGCAGCCAGTCCTATGGGAAATGACTCTGTTAATATGCAGGGGGCTTCACAAAGTTGTATAAGTATAGAGATGGGAAAGGAGACTTGAAGTAATTTAGCTTAGTGGGGTTTTATTTTTCTTCCTGTTATGGTATTGAACCCAGGTGCTTGCACGTGCTCAGCAACTGCTCTACCACAGACGTACATGCCCATCCCTTTTTAAATTTTATCTTGACACAGGATCTAAGTTGCTCAGGATGGCTTCAAACTTGTGATCCTCCTGCCTTAATCTCCCAAGTAACTGGGCTTACAGATGTGTGCCATAGTACCTGGCAGCTTAATGGTTTTCAATGGGGGTAGTAATATGCCTTTAACAACATTTTGCAAACTGTAGGAACATTAAAATATATATATATGTAAAATTCTGGTTTAGTCATTTCTGAATATTTACATCTTGCAGTGATATATTATTTGGTTATAAATGATTCCCCCTTTATTTCTTGTTAATATTTACATTAAAGAGTTGTATGATCATTTTGAAATTATATGTTTAAATAGGTTTTATTATTATGCATTTCACTTGTGATATTAAGAGGGCATTAACACATTGCTGTAGGTGGGCTTTTAAGGCTGAAAGTTTGAGATTCAGCACTCTGTAGAGCTCAACCTCCCTTGCAGACTTCCTTTTCATAAAGTATGTATCAAGGACTCTGGTTTCTTATGGAATGTTTCCAACTCCTATAAACCTGCTACTTAAAGGACAGCCTTTTCTATTGTTGGAAAGTTCCAAGAACTCTTTTTTTTTTTTTTTGTAGTGGTAGACTGGGATAAGACAAGTTTGTCCTGAGTGTATCTTGGTGAACTCTTGTAGTTACAAGGTTAACAAGTCGTGGCTACTCCAGTGTCTGGTTATTCCAACAGGAAGAGGCAGAGGCTGCGTGAACATCTGCAGGCAGCAGCAGAGCCCGTGGTTTATTCCATGACAAGATGTGTCTCTTGTAGGACTGAGGTTTTGACCTTCCTTCCACACAGCCAATTTCAGTTGAGTTGAAGGCTGAGATGAAAGGTTGGAAGGAATCACGTGCCATCCATGCCACTCAGACTGCTGACATGACACAGTGATCACTGTCACTTACTTATTGGCAGCCACAGCACTAATGGCTCCCAGAAGAGCGGGCTTGGTCACTTTCCCTCCAAATGCTCCTCCAGCTCTTTTCATGTGGCAGGCGATTCTACTTCTTGGGACATTGAGTGCTGCAGCCACATATTCCTATAAGAGGTAAGTCCCCAAGGCCTCATAAGTGCAATTTAATAGTTTACTTTCTTATCCATATGTTTCCTCTCTGTCCAGTAAAAAAAAAATCAGTACTTTCACATATATTTATATTTACAAAGTTGTTAACCATCATCATAGTCTGATTTGAGAACATTTTCAGCATCTCCAAAGAAACCTTGTATTCACTAAGGTGGGTGGCAATGGTGATCTGGACACATGCACCTTATCCCTGGAAGCCCAGAACCCAAACCTCTGGCAAAAAGGGAATTCATCTCTTGCCAACCTCCCAGCCTAGGCAACCACAAATCTATATTCCATCTCTATAGATTTGCCTATTTTGGACATTCCATATAAATAGAATTGTACAATGTGGCCTTTTGTGACTGTCTTCCTTCACTTTGCACAATGTTTTTTCAAGGGTCACCCATGTTGTGTCATGTAGGAGTTTTTCATTGCTTTTTATGGTTAAATATTATTCCATTGTATGGATATATCAGATTTTATCTATTTATGAGTTGATAGATATTGGGTTGTTTCTAATTTTGGCTCTTATGAGTAATGCTGCTATGAACATCTATGTTTAAACCTTTGTGTGGACAAAGGTAGATAGTTGGGTAGATAGTTGTGGAGTTGCTGGTTTATATGGACATTTCATCTTTAACATCCAAAGAAACTGCCTAAGTGTTTTTCACAGTGGCTACACCATTTTTCATGCTCATTAGCAATTTATGGAGGTTCCAGTTTCTCTACATCTTTGTCAACACTTGTTATTATCTCTCTTTTAGATTATAGCCATGTTAGTGGGTGTGGAGTGGTATCTCATTGTGGCTTTTTTTTTTTTTTTTTTCATTGTGGCTTTGATTTGCCTTTCTCTCGTGGCTGATGATTCAAAGTATCTTATCATGTGATCATTAGTCATTCATATTTCTTCTTTGCAGAAATGTCCACTCAAATGCTTTGCTTTTGATGCTGCCCTAAGTTTTTTAGTAACCCTTGGAAGATGCCTGCTGTGTGGAACTGATGGTGTTGGTGGTGGGTGGCAATGGTGATCTGGACACATGCACCTTATCCCTGGAAGCCCAGAACCCAAACCTCTGGCAAAAAGAGACCTCAGGGATCTTATTACCTCCGTCAATTTACAGAAAAGAATATTGATGCCCAGCAACTTTCAAGAGATCACAAGGCTGCTTAGAGGTAAAACTCATATCCCTCACCCCTCCTCCATCCACTTCAAAACTTGCAACTGTGGAGGTCACAGCCATATCCCTGCTCAGAGCCAGTGACTTCAGCCTTTCATTTTGCCTGAATAGCAACTGGTAACTTCTTCTTCCCATGGAGCCACTACTTCAGGTCCTCAAGGTGTCAGGATTCCCTCCCAGTGACACTTGTCACTATTTTTAAAGTATCCCCTTGTACCTGACAGTGTTATGGAGCAACTCCATTTTTGAAACATGGGAATATCAGGACTGTTTTTTTCACTTCTCTGGGTACAACACTGCTTTATATCTCAAGCCACAGCACAGGACTGGAATTTACTTGCTACTGTGTCAGGCTGAAAATGTCTTGGAAATGCAATTGCTTTACCCACATACCACCGATATATTAGAACATTTATATAGAATAGCAATACCAGTGACATATAAAGGAAAATTAACATACAGTACTAAGGATTTGACCTCCCTGAGATTAAGTTTTACACTGTCAATTCTTAAGAGGGAAAGATGAACCTTGTCCTATGTTTTGGAAGGTAGCAAAATTTCCAAATCATGTTGAAAGTTATTTATTCCATTTTATTCTCACTGGATTTCAGCCAATGTCAGGGATGCACATAGTTCAAGGCACAAGAATGAGAGGTTATTTGGAGTCTCATTTCCAAAAACAGCCTATTACCTGCACATGTGTTGGGAACTGTGTTCCAAGGTGTAACACCATCTCTTTGTCTTCTGCTTTTGGTATAGCCAGGATCGTCTGTGTTTCCATGTAAAAATGTTCCTGTCCTTCCACATGGACCTCACCTGTAAAGCATGAACACAGGACAATGTTAAGTCACAGGTACCAACATGGGCACTATTGGTGGCATTTTGTTTATAAAGACCAAGTTGCTTTATCTTATGGAGAGCTGGACTTATATCATTTGGTTAAAACACTTTTTGTGATACTGTTGTACTCCTTGTCCCTGATGCCAATTCCAGTAAGTAGGACACAGTTTTGAGAAAAAGGAAAAAGAAGTTTTATTATTTTGCTAGCAAAGGAGAATCACAGGGAACTCCTTTTCCAAAGGCTATGATTCTGCCCATCAGCAGGAGCACGGGGCTTTTAAAGAGGTGATACACTTGTTCTCTATTGGAGTTGTAATTCACTTGTTAATTTGGGAGTCATTTCTGAGATCATCTTATGCCATCCCCAAAGTCTGGATTACTTTGTTCCTATGGTGGGTGTGTGCTCAAGGACAGATAAATCTGCTTAAAATGGGGGAAGAAAGGTAATCCTGTTTCCCCTGAGATTAGGGAGGAGCAAGGAGAAAGGAAGAGAAAGAAACATGTTCATTTAAAAAATAAGTTGCAGTGGCAGAGCAGCAAGGGCTATATTCAAAGCATAAAGCAGCCCACTGTCGCAATTTGTTTTGCCCTTCCCGGTGTGAGAGGGGAGGGGAACACCTTCTCAAAAGGAAACACATACCCTGCTTTTGGAGTTAATAGGAAAAAAGTGGCTTTTTTTTTTTTTTTCTGTTCCGGCTATTTCTCAATTGCCCTCAGCTCAAAATAATCCTAATGCTATCAGGGTATTATTTTAAACTCCAATGTATTTACTTAATATTACATAGTATTGTAGTATGCCAGGTATTTTTCTAAGGCTTAGCACTTCATAGATGATTAATTCATTTAATTCATTTAATCCTCAAATCCACCCTCAAATCCATGAAACATGTATTATTATCTACATCTTGCAGATTGAGAAGCCGGGACATAGAAAGGTTAAGGAAATCATCCAAAGTCACAAGAACTGGGATTCACACCTGGGTCACCCAACTCCAGCCAGGGTGCATGCTCTTAGCTACTACACTTCTTCATGTTGGCACGCTCTGTGACTCTTAGTCATTTCTTCTCTTCATGTTTCAAATTTCCCACCTTGTGCCAACATTTTGAAATCCCACAATTGCCCAAATCCCAAATGGCAGCAATTCCAAATGGCACCTTGTCAATCATCTGCCCTTTGAGTGAGAATAAAAATGAAAGACAATCTAGCATGGTGCCCAACAAGCAAGGCCTTTGGGCCAGCCAGAACCAGGCTCTATTCCTGGTCCTACAGCTAACTGGATAGGAGACCTGAGCTAGTGATTTAACTTTTATAAGCCTCAGTTTCTTTCTTAACCTTTAAAATGAAGCTATGGCTATGTTCCTTCTCAAAATTATTTCACTCACATTTCAAATAGTAAGTAGTAAATGCTTAGTTACTTAAGACAGGTTTAGTAAAAATACTGATTTCTTAGGGTTATAAGGATTAAATAATGTTGTACATATAAAATGCTTAGCATGGTATTGACACAGTAAGTACCTGAGGAATGTTAGTTGATGTGACTATTGGGAGGGGGTGGTGAATAACTTTCACATCAAACTTATAGCCTTTGTGAAAATTTCATTTTATTTTAAAAAACAGAATCCTTGAGGAGTATTGGACCTTTGGCATAGTTAGTGGATACTGTCAGATTCCTGAGCATCTCTCACCAGCTTACCAGTTGTGTCCTCTTCTGAAGTAAAGGATTGTTTATATAATTGAGAGGTAGTTTGCAGTTTCTGCTTAAATAGAATGATGTTGCGAAACACGATTTCTAGTCTCTACCAGGTTTTAATAAAAGATAAACATTTATAGCACTTGCGATTTCAATTATTTAGAAGTAGGTCAGAGACCCTGTGCTGTTTTCTCTGACCAAAGACACACAGCAATTTTCTTCAAAATGACAGTTGTGAATACCAGTCTTGGCCATACATTAGAATCTCTGGTGAGTTTTAAAAATATATCTATGCTCTGACTCTATACTCCAAGATTCTGATATCACTGGTCTAGGGTGTGATTCAGGTATTGATATTTAAAAAATCACACTAATGAGATCTTAGTGCACCAGGTCAAAACAAACAATAGTATCAAGATTGAAAAAGATAGATAACAGTCACAGATTAAATACATAGAAAATTCAAGAAATTCTCTAAGACTATTAAAGGAGTAAATGAATTTAATAAAATTGCTAGATAGCCAATCAATACACAAACATTGTTTTCACATACTAGATAGAAGTATTGAAAATTAAATATCACTTATAATAGCATCACAAGGCACTAAATATTGGGAATAAATATTAAGAAGGATGTGCAAGATATCTATAGTGAAAACTGTAAAAATTACTGAGAGAAATTAAAGAAAACCTAAATAAAAGGCAAGGTCTACTATGTTCATGGTTCATGAGACTTATTATTAGTATTTCAATTATGTTAAATTAATACATGTTATAATGCAATCTCAGACAAAATTCCAGCAAATTCTTTATGATGAAATTCAATTTAGGTGACTTTTCTTTATAGTTACTGCTTGCTTTTGTGTCTGCTGAGAAATTTTTGCCTGTCCCAAGGTCATGAAGAAGTTTTCTTATGTTTTTCCTAGAAGCTTGATTGTTTCAGCTTTTACATTTAGGTCTATGATCTGTCTCAAATTAATTTTTCTATATGGTATAAGGGTTCGAGATTCCTTTTGTTTCATATGGACATGCAGTTAATTTGGCACTGTGTATTAAAGACTGGATTTAATTTTAATCATAAAAAATCAGCATAAAGAAAGTGAAAAGATAATTCACAGACTGGAAGAATTATAATTGACCAACAAAGAACTTGTACCAAAAAAATATAAAAATGAGCTGGGCGCAGTGGCACACGCCTGTAATCCCAGTGGCTCTGGAGGCTGAGGCAAGAGGATCGCAAGTTCAAAGCCAGCCTCAGCAAAAGTGAGGCAGGTACTAAGCAACTCAGTGAGATCCTGTCTCTGAGTAAAATACAAAATAGGGCTGGGGATGAGGCTCAGTGGTTGAGTGGCCATGAGTCAATTCCTGGTACCCAAAAAAAACCAACCATATTAAAATCTGTAAACTAGTAAGTAAATAGATTATTTATTATATTATCAATTACATTAATAACAATTACATAATTATAGTAATGTGATATAAATGTATTATTAATTATAATTAATTTTTACTTTTGGATTTAAAAAATTAAGGAAAAATAGGCAAAAGACTAGAATAGATAGTTCAACAAAAAGAATATAAAAAGAGCCCATACACGTATGAAAACAGTTCAACATCATTAGTCAATTAAATAAATCCAGCTAAAACCATAACAAGATACCAGTACCCATCTAACTGATTAGATAAAGCTGCAAAGCCTGGCAATAACAATGGAATTTTCTTAATTGCTAATAGGAATAAAATTGGTATGACTTTCATTGTCATTTAAAAATATTTGGCATTAACTTCTAAAGCTAAACATACAAATATGCTATTACTCAGCCTTTAAGTCCTAGTATATGCCATTAGAAGTAAGTGCTTATGTTCATTAAAAAACAAGTATAATAGTGTTTATAAAAACTTTATTCATAATGGTCCCAAACTGATAAAAATTCAAATGTCTGTCAATAGCAGAATGGGTAAATAAATTGTGGACTATTTGTCTAATGTTGTAACTACTGAAAAATGAAAACAGAACTACAGATCCATACAATAACATGGTAGACTCTTCCATATAAAATGTTAAATAAAAGAAATAAGCACATCAAAAGATTATATTACAAGATTCCATATATGTGAAGTTCAAAACAGATAAAATGAATCTATAGTGATAAAAGTTAGAATAATACTTTCGAGGGCTACAAGACAGGATGTAGGAAGAATTCTGGGGTACGGGAAATGTTCTGTATCTTGATGGGGTGGTGTTTGCATAGGTTTCTACATATGTAAAAATTCATCAAGCTTTAAACTCATCGTGCATTTTAAATTGTTGTTCAACAACCACAATAGGATAGAAAAGCCCTGCCTTAGCGTTTCAGCTTTTCTCAAACCAGATGACTGAAATTAGTCTTTGACGTTAGAAGTTTCTATTTTCTGGCTCTAGACTATTGTACTTACCTTCAATGATTTGGTCAACATACTTAAAGGCATGCTCTACATCTCCTTGCTCAATTTTTTTCTCAGAAAAAAGAAAAGAATTGTGCTCTAGGGCTTGCTGCGGTGGAGAAACAAACAAACCAAAACAATTTTTTAATTTGCATCCTAATAAACTATTTGTCCCCCGTCAGAATTCCATGCTTCTACTCTATCAGATAGATCTCTTTTTTAAAATATATTTTTTTAGTTGTAGTTTGACACAATACCTTTATTTTATTTATTTATTTTTATGTGGTGCTAAGAATTGAACCAGTGCCTTGCACTTGCTAGGCGAGTGCTCTACCGCTGAGCCACAATCCCAGGCCCTCAGATAGATCTTTACAAACAGAGACAATTGGAGCCAAAACAGTGTGAAGAGTCAGTGGAAATTGGATTAAAGTGAATTACAGGCATCCCTAGGTGACTCACTAATTTTTTCAAGGACTTGGAGAAGAGCTAAGGATACAAAGCTCTATTACCATGGCCCCACCTCTAGATTGTTGAGTGATTATCTGAGGCATTTGGTTTTAAGGTGCCAACTCTGGGGTAAGAGGGGCTCATGATAGAGTAAAGAGAATTTAAGGAGGAGGAGGCTGGGGTGGGTGGAATGCTCAGGAATGGCCTAGTATTGGCTACCTGAATCAGATCCAGTAACATTTGGAGTTAAAGGCTCATCATAAAATAACAGTTTAAGGTTGAGATCAGGTGAGGGATCAAAATGAGGACAAGGACAGACTGGTTAGGCTGCAGGTTTTCTATCAATAAACAGTGGAAGATGAGTGTGGAAAGGTGATTGAGGATGGTATAGGAAAGACCTTGACACTACATTGAGGAGTTAGACCTATGTAAGGGGACCGTGCTGAATAGGAAAGGTAAACTGCTGAACTCAGGGGCTCAGAAATGTTAATGTGGTGGGAGAGGGGCTGAACTGTAAGACAAGAGCCTCTCTAAGTGGTTATTCAGACAATAAGGTGGTGAGGATGGTGCTGGAGGATGGAGTGAAAGTGAGAATGAGAAGAAAGGAGCAGAAATAAGTGGCAGTTATAGGATCATCGGAAAAATTTGAATTTGATAACTGTTGGGAAGAATTGGAAAATCAATGAAGATGTTCAACCCGATTAGGCATCTACCTGCTCATCTATCCTTCCATCCCACTATCACTCAACACACATTTATTGAGCACCAACTGTGGGTTTAACACTGGTAGGCACTAGAGATATAAAACAAAACACAGCACATCTTTGCTCTCATTAATAACAATAAAACCAAAAACAATAGCCAACATTTATTGACTGCATCCCCAGGTGCTATTCTAAGTAGTTTACTTGGATTCTGTCATTTAAACCTCATAAAGATTTCTATTTTTCCGGGCTTTGTGGCACATGCCTGTATTCCCAGCGACTTGGGAGGCTGAGGCAGGAAAATCACAAGTTCAAAACCAGCCTCAGCAATGGCAAGGCACTAAGCAACTCAGTGAGACCCTGTCTCTAATAATGTACAAAATAGGGCTTGGGAAGTGGCCCAGTGGTCGAGTGCCCCTGAGTTCAATCCCCAGTACCAAAAAATAAAAAATAAATAAATAAATAAAATAAAAAATAAATGAATTTAAAAAATTCCTATTTTACAGATGAAAAACCAAAGTCTGTGGAGTTTAAGTAACTTGCCAAAGTTTTCATTTCATTTCTATTGAGAAGCTGTTAAATGGCAGAATCAGATTATGGATCCAAGTAGTTTGTCTTCTGAGTTTGTGCTTAAGAACAGTGGGCAGAGAAACAGAGGACCCAGCAGTTGTAATATAACAAATGTTACAATGTTTATGAGTTCCTCAGAGCTCTAGATTTTCCCATTGACTAGCTTTGTTTGTGGGGTCTTGAGGGTAATACTCTGGTGTTGCTGATCTGTATTCTCAGGCAGGCTTTGGTGAGAGGCCACAGGAGAAATGGGCATAGGAAGTTAGTTTCACTGCTGTACTGGCTGCAGAAGTACTTGTGGGGAAGAAGGTGTTTGGACAGGAAAGCTCTTGGGATTCTGTCTTGAGGTGCTGATTACTAGAGCCTTTCTCTAGGATAGCACTGAACAAAGTATATAGATGGAGCCCAGCTTATACTATTTTATGACTCCATGACTGAATTCTGCCCCAAAGTATACTGCCCTAATCATGCTACAAGATGCAAAGTGGTCAGACTACCTCTATTGTGATGATCCTTGGTTCTATGTCTTCGTAAGTGATCTTCACTTTTTTAGCTGCCTCTTTGGCATGAGCATAGGTATCGGCAGCCACGGTGCAGATGATCTGACCCACACAAATGACCTGCAGGAAAGCCACATGCTGCTGATTAGCTAAGGGCATAGACTCATCAGAAAGGAATGATCATTCCCACATTTTAACACCTGCTGGATTTTGTGGCCAAAGAGAAAACTATTTTCTACCTATGAGAATAAAATTTAAACCAGTGGCTCCACTGGGACTTAGGGGACACAAAAATTGGTTGCAGAACTTAATTCTCTTGACTTTCATGATCTGCCTTCTGTTGTCTTCCCACTCCTCGTCATTCCTGCAGCACACACAGTGATCTGGTCAACCTGAAATTCTGCTTTCTTTCAATGTCTGTTTGTTCTTAAATTTGTTCTAATTAGTTGCACATGACAGTAGAATTCATTTCATACATCATACATAGATGGAGTATAATTTCTCATTCTTTTGGTTGTACATGATGTAGAATCCCACCGGTTACATAGTTATATATGTACATAGGGTAATAATATCTGCTTCACTCTACTATCCTTCCTAACCCCATACCCCCTCCCCTCCCTTCACTCCCCTCTACCTAATCTAATGTCTCTGTTCCATATTGCTTCTCTTTCACAGCTATTCAGAGATCTTCCTTAAGAAGACTGATGACTTCTCATCAGAATCTCAAAGGGACCCCTGATTTAAGAGAGAAGTGGAGAATCACAGAGGTGGAGGAGTCATTGGTTTCCAGTTTTTGTGGTGTGCATGTAAATCTGTGGATGTTACAGTGGCAACTGATAATCATTTTGGTCTCTCCAGCAAAGTGTTGAAATCATAAACCATGCACAAATCACACACCTCATTCTGTGCATAAAAAATCTCTCCATGATGGTTATTATCCCCTGGAACATCCTCTGCTGTGATTACATCAGCCACACCTGGAAGTGACAGGGCTTCTGAAGTATCAATTGATCTAGCAGGGAAAACATGATGGTAGATATTAAAGATGCAGAAGTAAGTTCATGGCACAATATAAACGATTTCTCAAGTGGAAAAAATATATGTGGACTTCATAACTAAATCATGGACCAATAGTTTATGTTGAAAAATATTATTATCTAGCAGGTGTTCTAACTCTTGGTCATAGATTCTTTAATAACTATGCTTAAAAATGACTTTTCTCAACTGGTCCTAAGCACTTCAATGTCATGAACAGTGTAGCTGTAAATAGGGACTTTTGGCTGGTGTTAACAAATGCCAGAGGGCATCTCTGGGGAAAAAAAAAAGACTTTTTCCAATCCAGAAGAAGAAATGAGTATTCTAAGTTGACTTAAATATGCAATAGCCTCTCAATTTGAATGTAAAACTGTGAATGCATTTTAGTAACACATGGGAACATCTTTTGTTTCCTTACATGATCTTTGCATGAGCTCTGGTGCTGGTGACTACAGCAAGGAAAAGTTCCTGGTCAAGGCGGGGCATGTCATCACAAAATATGGCTTCCCCTGTGGCATGTTTAATGGCCGATTGGTGCATGACTGGGTGGCCAACTGGATCTTGTGGGGATTGGTGGGGATCCACACACTGTTAATGAACAAAGCAAGTAAAATTTACACTGGAAGTTCTCTCATAATCCTGAAAATTGGGTTTGATTTATCTAGCTTACTCACAAGTGAACAAACAAACAAACAAATGAAAACTATAGGTAATTAGATATTCAGATCTGTGAATCAGGTTAATTAGTATCCATGAGTTCTATAGTAAGGGATATATTCTGATTAAAATCCCCATTCCTGCCCCCCCCCCCAAAAAAAAAGAAGACATCATTCCTGTCTTCAAGGATTCTTACAATCTCATTGAGGCATCAGAACACACACAAACACACATTAAAATAAGGCGGTCTATTTCATATGGCAATAAAGAATAATTTACACAATTGATAAAGCGGAACAAAAATATCTAAGTTCCTGGGAGATTCAGGGTGGTTGTCATGAAGCAAGAAGGCTTTCTAGCGGCAGTAAATGTTGAGTCAGGTTTTAAAGGATGGACGGACACTGGTCAAATAAAGGGGGAAATATTTAGGTTACAAAACTGAAAATAATGGAGAAAAGAAATTCAGAACAGAATTACTTGAGTAGCCCTGAATGAAAGCACAGTAGCTAACCAAGTAATTTTTGTATGGGTGACATCAGGTGGCTTTTGTAGACTCTATCAGCAATAAATATATAACAGGCATATGTATCCCAAAAACATACATATATTAAAAAACAAAAACTTTACCAACCCACCTGGAACATCTGGATTCCTTGTGGTGTTTCTATGGGGAAATCTTCTAGAGCACTCAGGAACTTTTCTGGAATATCAGGAAACTTCTGGGGATCCTAAAAAGATTATTTCACATTTAATTTTGCAGTCTGAATGACTAACATGGAAAAACATGTAAAAATGGGGTTATCCAATGGATTCTTCAAGATCTTAGGTTGCAGCTCTGTTGACAGAAAGCTCTGAGCCTGGAGTTCTCTAAGCTGGTGGCGAGGTTTGTAGAATGACTTCTGCATCCACTTGGGCACACAGAAAAGTAAGGTTGTTTCCAAGAGCCAAGACTTCACTTCTTGACAAGGTCTCTCTCTTTTCTTTTTAAACTTTAATTTAATTAATTATTTTTTAAAAAACTTTTGAGACAGGCTATCACTAACTTCCTGAAGCTGGCCTTGAACTTGCAGTCCTCCTGCTTCAGCTCCCAAGTTGCTGGTTTTACAGGTGTATGCCACCTGTCAGACTGGACAAGGTCATCTTGAATGAGTGCAAATATGTGCACTTCTAAATGGAGGCTGTGCTTTCAAATCCAGGCCAATTATCTCAGCATGTATCTCCAAGAAGCAACTGAGGAACAAGCAGTGCTTAATTTACAAGAATGTTCAATTTTAGATTATTTGTGATAGTGAAGAAAATGGAATTAAATTAAATATCAAACAAGAGGAAAATGGCTTAACAAATTATGGCACATTCAGATGCAATATTCAGTAATCATGAAAAATGGTTTTGTAAGAGTATTTTTATTGATGATGAAGAAATATACTTCAGGGAATATAGTTAAATGAAAAAAGGGCTACAGAATTTATGTATAGTATGCTTCCAATTTAGTAAAAAGAAATTGAAAAATATCAAAGTGTATATTCTAAAAATGTTAATAGTAATAGTTGATTATTATTGGGTTACAGTTCATTTAAAAAAATTTTGCCCCTCTCTATTTTGAATTCTTCTATAGTGATAGAATATGTAATAGTGTACAATATATAATAATATATAATAATGAATAATGAATAAAATAAAATATTTAATAAATCATATATACATTTGTATATCGAATGTGCTACATAATACATAATAGAATATATAATAGTATATAATTGTATGTAATAAGATATATCAATAATATTTGGTAGAAGAAACACTGCTGTGGAGGTTATTTTAAATGAGGTTGAGTAAGAAAAAACTAGTTAACAGAAAACTTGAAGCAATTTAAACGTTTAAAAATAAGGAATGGATCAAATAATGGCACAGTCATCCATAAACACACATGCAACCATTCTGTCAGGATGCCACTGAGAAATATTTAATGGCATTGAAAGATGTTCATATTACTAAGTAAAATAAGTAAGCAACTCTCGAGGAGTGGCTAGCACCTCGCCAGGGTCCTTTTGTCTGCTCAGAGGGATAAGCCTCTGAAGAACTTAAAGTCTGAAATAATTAGTAAAGAACAAAAGACAGAATCACAATCACAGTTTTAAAGGATGGAGCACCTGATAGGTTCAGCCACACAGGAGCTGGAGCTGGACAATTAGAAAATGGCTCCCGTGGTTTATTTAAGGGGGTACATCAAAGGCAGGGATAAGGTTTCAGAGGTGGTGTCTTGCTTCGTGATGTCTGGCAGTCAAAGATTGACTGGCGTATTGACAGGTCACACCCATCTCTGAGAGGCTGTGTGACCACAGCAGGTCACTCCAAATCTGGTCCTACATGGGACCTTCCTGAGCAGAGCTCAGGGGGAGTTTACATGTTTGTGGGTGATCTTACCCTGTGAGATTGCCACCGGAAGTTCCCAATACCAGGCTTTCCCACTAACTGGCTACCGTGCTGAAAAGATCCTCATGTATATATAGTTCACGGATGGGTCTCAACAAGCAACGTCTATTGAACAGTTATTAATATGCACACACATATACACACATCCATAAAGAAGGGTTTAGAAGGATGTGCACTAAAATATTAATAGTGGTTGAATAAGGATGATGGAGGTCACAAATCATTTTTTCTTCCTTTTTGCTTTACTCACATCTCCCTTTCTCCCTCCCTCCCTCCCTCCCTTCCTTCCTTCCTTTCCTCCTTTCTTCCCTTCTTCCTTCCTTTGCAGCACTGGGGATTAAAGCCAGTGGTGCTCTACCAGTGAGCTACATTCTCAGACCTTTTTTCATGTTTATTTTGTAAATGGGTCTTGCTAAGTTGCCCGGACTGGCCTTGAACTTGTGATCCTCCTACCTCAGCCTCCCAAATAGCTAGGATTACATTCTAAGTATTAAAGTATTATTTTTATGCAAATTTGTTTCAAACAAGGAAAAGGTATAATTTACTTACTGAAGGCTTTTCACCATTGTTAGTTAACCTCTTATTACCTTTTAGCACTTGTCACATGGATCATAGGGCAAATAGACTAACAAGGCTGCCCCCTTCAGAGCCTGGGGTTACAGGAGAGAAAAGGGGAGGAGAAACCACTCCAGGCCCAGAGGCAGGGCTGGAGCCTAGGAAGCACCATGGAGGGCACCATGCCAGGTACACTCAGTGTATTATCCAAACCAGGCAGGGGAAGTCTTCCTGTGCAGACCCATGCTTGGAATGACAAGGAACCAGAGACCCAGAGAAATCACTTACCATTTTGTTCAGCCCTTGCCGCACTTTGAGGTAGAATTTGAAGAGTAAGCTGATGATGAGTGTCCGCCGGTATTCCACCATGCCACCCTCAGCTGCCGGGGGAATGTGGATCTCATCCAGGACCCACTGGCACGCGTCACTCAGCATCTCGTCATCCCACTGTCTATCAGTAAGAATGCAAACGTTTCACAGAAGGGGCAAAGACTGTGCTACGATTTATCATCTCTGAAACTCATGTTGAGATTTGATTGCCATTGTGGTGGTGTTGGAAGAGGTGATTTAAATCTTTAAGAGAGATTAATGCAGTTGAGAGACTAGATTAGTCACTGTAACAGCATGCTGCTAAAATGCAAGTATGCCACTGTGTTGTCTCTTCAGCCAACACCGGCTTGCTTGCTCTTCAACTTTTTGCTGTAAGTTGGAATGGAAAGAAGCCTTTGTGGGTGTCATGCTCTTGGACTTCCAGCCTCCAGAACCATGTGCCAAAATAAACCTCTTTCCTTTATAAATCATCCAGTTTCAGGTATTTTGTTATAGCAATAGAAAGTGTACTAAGACAGATAGATACTAAACTGATAGGGCAAGAAAAGATGGAGTGCAACCTGTAACCATTTTGGGGTGTGTGTGTGTGTGTGTGTGTGTGTGTGTGTGTGTGAGAGAGAGAGAGAGAGAGAGAGAGAGAGAGAGAGAGAGAGTTGGGGAGGTACAGGGGATTGAATCTGGGCTCACATGTGCTAGGCAACTGCTCCATCATGGAGCTATAACTCCAGGCATCTGTAATCATCTATGAAGTCTGAACAAAAGATTCTCAAAATATTTCATTAGCTTTTTTTTTAGCACCTAATGCAGGGGCTCCCAAAGTTTCCTTACTGAATTCTCCTTTATTATTTTTTTTAATAAAATGAGTTGGAAATATTGATTTACCTCAAATAGCTCAAGTGAAAGAAAAAAAAAACAACCAAAACACTACTAAAACCAAAGCTTCCTGAGACCTGCAACTCTGTCTTGTGCTCTGCTGTGTCTGCAGGAACTAGATCAGTGTCTGGTACACGAAGTACACTGCATAAACATGGTAAATGACCCAATGATTGAAGAGAGTTGGAAAAATTTCACAAACGAAAATTTGTACAGAGTTGTTTTGGAAGCATGGATTTATTTTCATATCTGAAAAACCTGGCATTAATTGCTAGTTTTCGACAAGGAAGGTTAAATTTTGATGATGGGTTAAATTTATTGTAAAACTGCAAGTTGGAAGAATTTTTAGAACTTACTCTCCAAATGCTAGAGGTCATGAGAGTTACAAGAAAAAGACAATGTGACTTTTAAAAAATATATTTCATGTTCTTTAAGTGGAGTAAGAATATTTTCAGATAGCTTAAGTCCCAGTATTAGAGCTATTTACTTATTTTACAGTTGATTCCTTAGAGGTACCACCTACTCAAACCATGTGATTTGTGCATAAACTTTACTTCAGAAACTTGCAATAAAAGAATCATTTTATCTCAAAGGCCTGGCTTTTGGGTGGCTTGTACTTTCTTCATCCAATGCTTAATTTTTTTTAGGGGACTATATGTATGTTTGAAACCAGAAAAAAATTTCCAAAGTACATTTTTTATTAAAACATTCCAAACAGAACGGCCCACATTCCATGTGGCCAGACACGCCATGACATACCTCCCGACAAGCCGTCTGCAGGTTTGGCTTGCAGAGAGCACGGTGGGGCCGACGCTTCCAAAGAACATCTGGAGCTCCCGGACTGTGTTTGTGTTGTCTTCAAACTTCACACTCATCCCGGCATTGACAATGGCAAAGGCATTCTCTTGCCGTTGGGCCAGACGGAGCCCCGACACAAAGTGCCACTGGAGATAGAGAAATGCTCGGAAGGGTTAGTGCTTATCTCCACTGATCTACTTGCACAAAGTGACACAGTAAGTGGCAGAGCTGGGGTTCCCCAGCTGTCTGGCTCCAGAGTCCCTGCTCATCCCCTGGGCTCTATTTCTTTCAACTCTGGATCGCCACATGTGACCAGGATACTATTTGCATTCTAATTTTCTTTTAAACAAGAAGTTGGGTTGGATCAGCTGGTAATGGGGGGGGGGCTGCTGTTGGGATGAGGGGACAGTCAGGAGAAAAGGTGCCACTGCCTTGGCCTCCTCACTGCTCCTTCTGCCTTCAGTCCTCCCCCCAACCAATTTATGCTCACTCATTTCTTCTACTGGATCAATATTCTTAAAATATCTCTTTTATTCAAATTTTACCTTGCTTTAGGCTTCAAAGGTGGCCACCTGCTAAAACACATAGGTCCTTGTAGCAGCTGAGATGCTTGGTGATGGACCCTGGCCTCCTTCCCTGACTCACCTCGCAGGCTGTCCAGCTGCCCTGTTCCTTACCTCCCAGCTCCATGTGGTTCTCCTGCCCGGATTGGCCACCCCATGGATTCAGGGCTATCATCTGTCCCCCAACAGAAACTACTCTAGCTGCCTGTCATTTCCTGTCCCAGGCAATTGGTCCCCCTTCCCCTACCCTACCTTTCAAGCCCTTCCTGTTAGATTTAGAGACTCTGAGGACAGGACCCCATGCCTTTTAACTCTTGTAGTGTCTTCCAGTTTGAACACCATGCTGTGATACATAGTCGGTAGGTAAAGAATCTTATTAAATGATTTGGTTAATAAATGTTGATTGACTTTGAAATACCTGAAATAACTTTCACTTAGTTAGAAGCTTCCTCTAGCTAATGTTGACTATGTACTCAATCTTGGCTAAGATGCACATTCATTTTGAAATAAAAAATTCTACTCACATAATAGATTTTGCTTTTGCAGGGCCGATGTTCCCTTAGACCTAGAGATAGGGACCAGGATACTATCAGGAGCTCTTTTGGGGTTTTTGGCCCTTTTAATTTAACTTTAATTTAAAATCTTAATCTTAAACATCCAGCAAATCAATATCACAGAGTACTGGGCTTTAATGTCTATCTCTCAATCCTGTAGGTGATAATTTATTATCTTAAATTAACCCAGGTTATGTGTTCTTAAAGCAGTACTTCTGCAAAACATTAACAAGAAAGCTTTAGACCATTTATAAGAAAACTACAAAATAAAATTAACAAGAGTAAAAACATATTTAGTTCGTGTAAAGGTATTTTGAACTTTGGCAGAGTTATATACATCAAGCCCACAGAAATGTTTCACTCTTAATTTCTTTTAAGTCAAAAGAAAGAAATGAATATAATAATAATAATATGTATAAATACTGAATGCAGCCAGGGTTATATTTACCTTTATACAAATATATATATATTTGCATTCTAATTTTCTTTAAAACGAGAAGTTGGGTTGGATCAGCTGGTAACGGGGGGCTGATATTTATGGAGGAAGGGAGTCATGAAGAATAAATTGCTGAGGATCTATGAAAGTTATAATGTGACTCTTCTATGAAAGAAAATCAAATGACCATCTGGGAATTGGCCTCCCCCTGTGAGAGGCCCAAACTTTCCCTAAAGCAACTGGTTCTGAATAGGGGGCCATTTCCCCTGGAAGCCTGTTTGCAGCTCAGGCTTTCTGCACAGGGCCAGCAGGGCTTCTGTGGGGCAGGGCAGCAGTTCCAGGAACCTCACCTGTGTAGAGTAGGGGATGAAAATAGACAACACAATCTCTTCAGATTTCAGGCTGGCCTCTGGTGCTCTCTCCAGGAAAGGGCCATTTAATGGAATCTGCCGTTCTCCTTCTGTTAGAGAAAATGGCCTTGATTAGGTTGAGCTTTTTCACTGCAGAACCCACGGCAAGTGGTGGATGTGATGTATCTGTGGGAAAGACAGTGTGTAGGCTGGGAGCCAGAACACAGGGGTCTAGTTCCAGCTCCCAACCTGGCTCGCTGAAGCAAGTCATGGCAGCTTTGGGGTCCCATCTGCACAATGACAGGGATGGACCTGATAAGCTGAGGAGTCTTTTCTGGTTCTTACAGCACATTTATACACCACTCACAAATTTGGGCCTTAAGGAACTTTAAAGTTATTTGGAAACAATCTGCAATGTTTATATTTCACAAATGGTAAAATTGGGATTGGGAAAGATTGAATGACCTTTCCATAGTACTAGAGGTAGGACTTCCGGCAGAGGTGGGATTCCTGATATATCACTTTCTCTTTGATTATTTGCATATATGTGTACACACACACACACACACACACACACACACACACTGTTCTCTTAGTTTATCATACTCTCTTGAGTCACCTTTAAAAAATTAATTTTAATCAGAGAAGAATCTCATACATCAGTAGCCCTATGAATAATATGAGTTTGTTTTTATTTCCTGAAATTTAAATCCTTTTCCCTCCCAAAAGCTCAAAGTATCTGAATAAGGACAGAAGTAATGGGTAAGATGTCCCACAAACTTTATTTAGTTTAAAATGAAATTCTTATAAGAAAAACTGCCATCTTTATGAAACTCTGGATTGAAATATGCCATGGAGAGACCGCTCATTAATATTTTTCTTCAACTACTTTGATACTGTAATTTTAACTGCTCACAAATTGGTCAAATATTTAAGAAAAATTGTCAGGTGCAATAAAAGTATCCAGTTTGTAAGATAAAGGACCTCTGTAGAGCAGACTAACTGATCAAAGTTTCACCCTTAGGTTTGAAGCAATGTCAACATAGCCTTATGAAGTGAAATTAAATATTCTTGGGTCCCCAGCTAATAATTACAGCAGAGGCTACAAAACAAACAGTGGTAAGTCTAAAGTAGAATACCTGAAGCTTGGCCTCTTACCTTTAGATATCAGGTTGATGGTTGCATTTCCTGCTGCTAAAATGGGATTTAGGTCAGAAAAATGAGGCTGGCTTGCCACATGTCCTCCTAAAGTCTAAATAAAAAAGGATGGCATTTGAAAAGATGTACTTAGTTGTTTGTCAAATAATGAATTCTCTATACAGAGGCCTTGTGTTAAGTTTTTAATTCTCTTCTTTGTGTCACAGAAAGATCTGTGAATTTGGAAGCAGCTAAGTAGATTCAGACAACATATCATACAATATTCCCACTCTTGACCCCATCCTGAGAAAACATTCCTCTTCCATGTGCAACAAGGAGGAATGATTTCCTCAAGGACTGACTCAAATATGCATTTGTCTTTGGAAACATTCCTTGATAGGCGTGTTTACCTATGAAGATAGATACAAAGGAAAATGAATGGGAATTTGGGGGCTGATGAAAGCAGGTTAGGGGGAAGGGAAGGTTTGGCCAAAGGGTAGAAAAAGTGTCAGACAACATGAGGAGGGTGGAGAGACTGTGGCCTGAGCAAATTGAAAAACTGGGATATGGAGCCTGTCTTGCTGCTGTGAAATAGAATGCTTCTCTGTCACCTTGAACCTTCAGTAAAGGCTATTCCACATTGACTCAAACAAGGGCTCTCTGAAGACTTACGGAGTCAAGTTGATAATGAGAGGAGCAATGCCATTTAGAAAAGGGACAAAAGATGCAGAAGGTGAAAATGAAGGGCAGATTTGGAGGATCAGCCAAAGAGCCAGAGCCAAACAGGAGAAATATAGTGACCCATGACCCCACCAAATCCTGCTAATCTACCCACCATGTGTGGAATGGGGAGTAGTCTGAGCCAATTTTTCTTAAGTTCCCCCCCCCCCACTGTATTTTTATTGGTACATTACAGTTGTACATAATGGTAGAATTTGTTGTTATATATTTGTACATGTGCATGATATAATATAATTTGGTCAATATAATTTCCCAGTATTTCCCCTTTACCTACCCTCCTCACTCTCCTGGATCCCCTTCTTCTACTCTACTGATCTCCCTTTGATTTTTTTCTCAAATATTAAATAACTAGGAAACCCCAGTAAGCTAGACAACTGGGGGAATCCACGAATGCACATGTGGGAGACACATTTAGAAACTGACCTTAATACAAAGATCTAAGAGGAGAACCAGCCATAAAAGAGCATCTTGGAGGCATATTTCATAGACTGTTAGAGCTGGACAGTACCTTAGAGACAGTCCATTGGGTTGGACCTTAATTTCAAAAATTAAGAGACAGTGGTTTAAAGAGATCAAATAGCTTCTCCAGGATCATACATCATCACAGGTAATTGGGACTAGAATTTGGGAATCTTCTGACTCTTGTATCATAATCTTATTATATCACAGTTCTCTTACTTTGAACACCTCCACCCATCCCCACTCTCATATTGAGGAGACATGTTCAACATTGACTTAGGATTCCTCTTCAGGATAACACTGGTTAAAATGAGCAGAACTGTATGACTGTCCAGAACATTTTTATCTAATAGAGAACGTACAGCCATGTTTCTAATCTGGGCTCCTGCAAGTGTCCTCAGTTGCTTCAGGAGGGCGCGAAATGTCTTAGTCTTCTCCTTTGGTTGCTCCGAAACAATAATTTGTAAGGCATCATTCAACTGGGCCAGGCTGTATCCTGCACCTATTGTCACCCCTAAAAATAAGATAGTGGAATATAAGCTTAACTGAACTTTAACAAGATAGGACTGCATGAAACCAGTCTCTTCAATCTGTCTTCGCTTTCCATATTCACTCAGAACAACAACCAACAAAAACAATAATTAAAAATATTTCTGGCAATCTGCTTTACTCTCAAATACTGAACACCAAACTCCTTTTCTCAGTCATGTGTGCCATAGACTTTAGCACATATCAAGCACGAATAACTGAAATTCAGTACTTCATTTACTTTTCCTAAATAAATTGCTCAAATATGGAAATCTTAGTCAAGGTCTCATAAAGGTTTTTTGTTTTGTTTTTAAGTTTACAAAGCCTAAATAAAAATTAACCTGAAAAATGTCAATTGCCCATTTGTCCTTCTTCAGTTATCTCTTCCTATTGTTCTCAGATCAAAAAGATAAAAAGAATAGACAACTGCCATATCTTGGGTCAATTTTATTTGCAGGTGTGCTTACAGGGTATAGTTTAAGTAGTGATGTCATCTAGCCCATGCATCCTCAATGGGGGTAATATTGCTCCCAAAGGAGTGCGAAACTCTTTTTATGTGTAAAGCACCAATACACATACTGCACATAAAAAAGATATACATTTTATGGGTGGTATTAAAATTTACTAGATGGATGGTTAGGGAAACAGTGCCTATTGCTCCCCGGAGGGACAACAGTAAAGAAAAGGGACAACAGTGAAGACCCAAACACTTATTTGGGTCCCACAGGCTCTACCTCCTCCCCACCTCCTCACCACACCCTAACCAAATACTTCCCACACCTTCTCCCAACCTTCTGCTCTACATGGCTGGCCTCCCTTACTCCATCTCTTCTTGTGAGTCCATTGATATACACTTTCCAACAGGTTAAAAAGTGGACAGACTGACTTCAGACTGGCAGGTCAGAGGGGCTATCAAGAAATTGTCTACTTGATTTCTGTTTCCTCACTGAGGAGAACCTTGCTCTATAGGATTTTTAGTTTCTACAGTCATTATCATTCCAGTGCTTAGTTTGGGTAGTGGATGGTGGGATGTGTTTTTCAGATTGCCTTCTTTAGTGCATTAGGTGGAGCAAGAAGACCTGGGTTGGAGCCTTGACCTGGATATGCTAGCTGTGTGATGTTGATGAAGTTACTTAAGCCCTTTGATTCTGTACCTTCTGTAGGGTAATAGAGATACCATGGCTGCCTTCTATGTCTATCTATCTCTCAGGGTTGTTGTGAAAGCATGTGAAGATAAAAAAATTGTTGTTCATAGTTACATTTCAAGCAAATTTGTTGTTCATAGTTACATTTCTTGTGGTCAAGATATATGTGTATGTGTGTGTGCATATGTTTGTGTATGTATATATGGAATAAACCTTGAGAAAATTTGTGAATCAGAGAGTAATGTGTGACAAGAACCTTTCCTACTGGACAGCACATGTCTTCAGTTTCTTGTTTGGTCAATCCCTGAATACCTGGTGAGGTATGTGACATCTTTCTGTTATTATGGCTCCTACGATGATGTAGAACTCAGTGATGTAGCTGAGTAAATTCATTTGAAAATGCTCATAAAAGACACAGGGTAGGTGCTCAGTAAATATATGAATAAATAAGTGAGGTGAGTTATTCTGTGAAATCTCAAAATCACTCAGCACCTGTGGTTGCTTCCCAACAGCCCAACAGCCAACAATTATATCTTATTTGTGAAAGAAGGTACTTACCATCATCTGTGGTGGTCACAAAGTGTAGTTCTGGAAGCCCAAGTGGAGATATAAAAACTGGATGGAATTCATCTTTGAACTTAATGGCGGGTCCTTAAGGGGAACAGCATTTCAAGCAATCAGAAAAAGAAGAAAATGGATGCTAATACATGTCAGTTACTGATGAGCCAGAATGAAAATTGTGACACTCATAACTTATATTCAAAAGAAAGCAACAAGTCATTCTAAAGGACCATGAGTATCATTAACAAAAATGAATTGCACTTAGGAGGAGTTTCAGAAGAGACACAGAGTTTAGGCTACCCACTCTAAAGAATAGGGAAGCAAACACTTACCCACTGTAGTGTTCCCCATGACAAGCGGGGCTTTCGGGAAATTGGCTTTCAGCTCCAGAAGGTCGTCCAGGGTCACAGGGGTGATCCAGGTAGTCCTCTCCCCTTGGAACATCAGTCTTCTCTTATTTGGATCTTCTGCCATTCTCTGCAGAGAAGCAAATGTAACACACTTTCAAGCAGGGCTCTTGAACACAAGCCACGAGTGTATCCACAGCTCTGGGTGTTGGGAGTCAGCCCGGCTCCAAAGACTAACTTCCCCATATCCCAAGAAGAGCCGTCCAATGGTGAGCCCTGCTGGCTCACATGATCCTTACCCACCAATCAGAGCCCTGCTGGCTCACCTGATCCTACCCACCAATCAGACTAGCCCTGATGGCTCACCTGATCCTTACCCTCCAATCAAAAAGCACCCCTTGTCAACTGTCAAACTACCCCTGGCTCTATAAATATGCAGAGCTGTTCCTCAATAAAGGGGCATTTGCTCTGTCGACAAGCCTTGTTCGTTCTTTCACTGGGTGTCCAGGTGGGCTGCATTTTAGCTTTCTGGAGAGATCCAGCTTCTAGGGATCACCAATGAGTCATCTGTTGATAAGATCCATATGGCACTGCTAAAGAATCATCATGGAGAGTGGCCTAAACTCCATTTGTATTTGTGAAGTGAGTGTGTGAAGAGGAAATAGCACAATGTAGTGAAGGTGGCTTGGCCTGGAACTAAGATGCCAGGCTTCCTGCTCTAGTTCTGCCCAACAGTGACTCAGAGGAGACTCATCTTTGGGGATGAGATTTTATGCTGGACAAGAATTGTTTATAGGCAAAATTATCCTTGAAAAGCATCCCTTAAATCACTCAGCAGGAATTGCATAAATGGGTTTTTTGAACAACTGTCTCTATATCTATATTTAGATATGTGTGTACAGACAGCTACACTATGCATGTAATTTTTATTTCTAGATTTGTACTCAGGATGCCCAAGTTCTCACCATTCTGAGAGGTGTGTGGGGACTGAGACCTTCTGAAGCCAGTGGAATCACCTCTCTCGTGTTCTCTCCAGGCACAGAAGAGAGTGGCAGACACACTGCACTATATACGTTATTTTCTCTTTATCTTTCCCCCATTGAGTTGAAATTACAGAAACTAAATGTAAGAATAGTGTGATTCTGCTATTCTAAGTGTCATTGGATTCTTACTTACTGATTTTACAAATGACCTTTAAGATGTCTCACAGAGTACCAATGGCCTTGGGTGTGTCACTGTACTCTGGCCTGAGGCTCTTCAGTTGATGGGATTCAACCAATGCATCCTGGCAGCTGACCCTGGCAGCACCACTCGTCCAAGCTGTCTGTTCCACTTATCTGAATAAAATCCCTAAAAATGGGTTTTTGCTCCATTATCTTGGACACACTTCCCACTTTTAATGTTAAAGCTCAGTAATTTCATAGTGTAATACAAAAAGGCAGATACCATATCATGTTATGAAACAATAGAAGTAAAGTATCTTACTATCAGTTCAGGAGGGAATATAGGCTCCTGGGATGGGTCCAATGGCTGGAATTCATCTTCATCATACAGTTTGGTACATATCTCAATGAAACAAAACAAAACACGGAGTTACTGAGAGAAGTGCAGGAAGATTTAAGTGTGAGACTTCAGAGTCAGGGCCTCTTCCTCTGACACGTCCTGACACAGAATGAGGTGCCAGAACCACAGGGCATCCCTCAGTGGAGTTCTTCCCACTCTCTCAAGAGCACTGGATGATTTCCCAGCTTGCTTACTAGACTCTGGTTTTCTTCCTCTGGTGTCAGAAATTGGGTTTCAGGTTTCTGTTCTGGGTCCCAGGAATCATTTGCAGGTATTTTTTCTGGCAGGAGCATGAGGAGGTACTGCTGCTCAGTCTCTCTTAGTGAGGGACTAACTCACTAAGAGTTAGTGAGTTAACTAACTAATGGGGATGGTTGCTAAACTCAGACTAAGCACAGAAAGCCTTGATGCTTGGGAAGGGAAGCAGCCTGTGCGACCAGCCTTGTGCGAGTCACGAACCTCCTAATTTTTGGAGCTCTTTGAGGCTTTTGATGATCCCAATTCACTTATTTTGCATTTTACTTACTCACACTAACAGAGAACTCCTTTGGGTTTATATGGATGTTTTTCAGCCAATCTCAACTGAAGTGGAAAAGCCAGATACTTACTTTTTCTTGTCTGTTTTCAAGAGCCTGCTCATCTTGATCCATGCAACATTTTCCGGATCCTTTCAGCTGACAAACACTGGATTCCTTAGGAGGTAATGCAGTTGAAGTCAAATTCATTAGTTGGTTCTTTTTTTTTTTTTTTCACTTAAAAGATTAAATTTTTATTTGGTCACAAATTCCATCATTAATTTCACTTTGAAGTACAAAATTTAGCACATATTTTCTTTTTTTTTTCAATTTTTTTATTGGTTGTTCAAAACATTACAAAGCTCTTGACACATCATATTTCATACATTTGATTCAAGTGGGTTATGAACTCCCATTTTTACCCCATATACAGATTGCAGAATCACATTGGTTACACATCCACGTTTTTACATATTGCCGTACTAGTGACTGTTGTATTCTGCTACCTTTCCTATCCTCTACTATCCCCCCTCCCCTCCCTTCCCATCTTCTCTCTCTACCCCATCTACTGTAATTCATTTCATTAGTTGGTTCTTTAGTCACCTATCTTAGCATCTGGCAGGTTAGGTAACCTGCTATCTCTTCACTGAACAATTAAATAAAATAATAGGGAGTGAACGGGACGAAGTCAGGATGGAGTCCTGTAAACAGTGTCATTCCAATCTCTGGGGATGGCAAAGGTGTGAGAGGTGGGTGGAATCAGCCAGCAGAGGCCTCTATTGGAACTGAGATACATGAAGTGTAGTTACAATGTAGTAACCAACCCAACAAATTGTTTTTTGTCATCTTAATGGTGATACAGAATGCATCTTTAATGAAGTCCTAAGAAGACAAGCTGGCTTTAAAACTTTCTATATATCAATATAAATAAAGCCTGAGCTTATTTGTCATTTATTGGGGTCATTTTGAATTATTGGGATGACTCAAACATTTTAAAATCATTTAACTTTAATTTTTAGGACATTTCATGCAGAAATGCAGAATTTGGAGCCGGAATTCATTTATCAGTTACTACAACAATCAGACTTATCATTCCTGTTTTCCCTTTTCAATGTGTAAACACTGCCAAAGGGTTTGTGGCAATCTAGAGATGCTCTTCATACATAAGTCAAGGGGAGGCAGCTGGGATATGGCTCAGCAGTAGAGTACTTGCCTCCCACGTGTGAGGCACTGGGTTCGATCCTTAGCACCACATAAAAGTAAATAAACAAAACAAAGATACTTTGTCCATGTTTAACTAAAAAATATTAAAAAAAAATAAGTCAAGGTGAACTGGGTCTAGTGCCTGCTTTAACACATATTAGCAGGGTTAAATTCGGATTATAAAACCCATCCCCAAAAGATTTGATAGATTTAAGTATTAGAAAAGTTTCATACAGTGCCTGACACATAGAACTACTGCCAAAGTAGCAGCTGGTATATCTTACTTGCAAGATCATTTCTACAGAATTAAGAAGGGATTTGGATTTTATGGCAATGCTGTACACAGTAAAGGAACTAACTATAAGTGGCTGAATGTGGGGACCCAGTATGAGAAAGAGTCTAAATATCTAATTTTGTCTCTATCTTTGTACAGATTTTTTTTTTTGTCACCAGAAAAATAATCACACTGTAACAGGTTGAATCAGACAAAGAAACTGCTGTTTTTGAAGGTCAAAAATGGTAGTATATTGCCCACTCCTATGGTTCCACATAAATAATATCCAACCCAGGAATTAAAATAAAATAGCCTGTAATGTGTAGAACTTGAAAATATTCAGTACTGGCATTAAAATATGTCTTTTAAAGATTTTTTTAGTATTTGGCATGAACTTATGTACTTTGAATTGTTTTTAGCCAAACAATTATATAAAAATAATTTTTACTATAAAAAATGGGTCCTGGAAAAACACCCCTACTGAAATTGTTTCAAAATATATCTTCTCCTGACATTTAACTTTATGAAAACAAGATATTTCAAAACTATCTGCTCCCCCATACACTAAATCATTTTTTTCCCCAGCTTCCTTTGTCTCCTGTGGTTCCTGTTTCTTGACTTGGAAGGTGACCTGGGTTCTTTGCTCTTTACCATCTGGTGGCTATGATTCTGGCAATCCTCTTAAAAGTGATTTCCTTGTCTCCACAGTTGTCACACTGGTCTGGGTCGTCATTCTCTCCTGTGTGGGACATGGCACTAGTCCATCCCTTCACTTCCAACATGGCTCCCCAGGCTTATCTATAAGCAAGTGCCAAGAATTTTTCTTCCAAAATTCTGTTCTCATTGTGTTATTTCTGGCTTGAGAACAATGACTACACATTGGTTATCAGCTTTACATCTACATTCTTTAGCCCCAAACACGATCTTATGAATTTTTAATACTTTAGTCTCATCATTTAGTCATTCTAACCTGAATTTTGGACATCTCTCTTTTTCCTACTTCCATCCATTTTCTTACTTGGAATTTTCCTAGACCTCTCTCTAGCCTTCATTTCTAGCGTTTTCTTTAGGACCTAGCTCAAAACTCCCCTTCTCTCCTCTGTCTCTTTTCTTCCCATTTATTAATTCTCTTAAGTTCATGTTCCTTCAAAATTTATATGCATATATTGGATATGTTGAGTTTTTAATATCTTGCTTTTCAATTATGGTTTTATTGTTTCCATGCTTTATTTTTTTCAGTAGACCACACATTTCTTGAAGTCATAAACTAAATTCTGTCCTCCTCAGGAAAATGACCAATTTAAGGATAAAAACAAGACAGATGCTAACCATTTATTTAAAAAAAAAGCTGTAGGTATTTAACAACTTTCAGTGATTAGAAAAGGCAACATGGGGTTATTTTAGAGATTAGTGAATGCAATACATTATTTTAATGCAAAAGATCATTAATGTAACAGAATGGGTAGTCTTTTTTTAACTTACCACACAGAAAGTTTTCCCACTTTCTATAATTGGTCGGTATCCAGTACATCGGCACAAATTACCTGATTAACAAGGGGTAAAGTTTTAGAAAATAATATAGAAATACATTGCATATCTGTACTTCATGTTTTCAGTGGAATAGTTGTATTAGTATTGAGATTCTTTTTTTTTTTGCTCCCTAAAGCCAGCAAGATTTTTTTAGAAAAAAATGTTTCCCTTGGAGATGTTCTTCAAAAAATAAATTTTGTGGTTACATTTTCTTCCTGAAATACCATAGAAATCTCCAAAGTTTTTCTCAATCCTTTCTTCTTTATTTCCTGCCCCTATCCTAAGTTGTATATCTGCATCTCCATATCATCTATGTGTCCCTCCGTCATACCTTTCTCCTGCAGTCTCCCAGGGGAAGAGGAATTGGGACTGCTATAGTCTGGATAAGTGTCCCCAAAGGCTCATGTGTTAATGTCTTGGTCTGGGTGGCGCTACTGGTGGCAGAATTATTGATGAGTTTTTCTATATCTTTAAATTTGGGGACCTTTTCACAATAGAATGTATTATTTTTATACTAAAAGTATGTTTCAAATTATTATGTTCAATTATACTTTAACAATTTCAGAGGGAGTGTGTATATGTGGATCCGGCAAGTTAAAACTACTAGAAGAAAAGTGTTGCTTCCAGTGAGTCACAAGGGAAGTTGGGCTGTGGGTTCCCTCCTTTCTTTTTAGAAGAAGCTGAATACACAAGAATGGCTGCAGACTCCATAGTCTCTTTCTTTTTGCTAAAGAAGAAAAAACATGGAAGGATGTGAATTTAGAATTCCTTAGAGTAGAAGGAAGAAGCTGAAATTTCTAGAACATAACTACGTGTTATGAAATACAAGTAGTGGGAAGGCCATGGACATCTTCTCTCTGATAAGCTGTAAGCTAGCAGTAAAGGCTGGGGTGAGCCAGTATCAGGACTTTTTGTTTCATTTTGTTCAGGGTTACATAATCAATGTTAACTCCATAGACTGTATTAAAGACTGCTGAAGAAAAGATAACTGCCCATTACAGACATTTTTCTAATTCTAAGAAGAAAAAAAAAGATGAAAATTCAAAAATGTTATTCCTTTAGTCTTGAAAGGAAAAGCCTAGATTAAATTAAGCAGCGATTTTTATGTTGGTTGCCCATTTTAGAACTTATAAGCCTATACTAGTTACATTTATTTGAACTTTATTTTATATTATTGTTTTTCTTTCTTTGTGGGGGGGCATGAACCAGGACTTGGTGCATATAAGGCAGGCTTTCTACCAACTGCGCTATATTCCCAGCCCCTGTATTATTGTTTTTCTTAGAATATGACCATGAGGGCTGGAGATATCGCTCATTTGGTAGAGTGCTTGCCTCGCATGCACAAGGCTCTGGGTTTGAACCCCAGCACCACACACATTAAAAAAAAGACCCACAAAGGTTATCAGTGTGACTAATATTTATAATTCTAGAAAGAGAGCAAATAAATATACTCTTCAAGTTATCTACAGAGAGCAAAAATATACCCTTCAAGTTATCTACAGAGAGCATAAATATACCCTTCAAGTTATCTACACCTAGAACAAAGTTGTCTGCCTCATCCACTTAGCCAAACTTGACAGTACCATCTCTTTCTTGGTGGTTTCTATGTTAGTCACAGGCACAGAATCATGAAAGGTATAATTTGTCTCTGTAAGATTGCCTCATAATCAAATAAACTGACAAAAAGGGCAAATCACAAGACCTATGCTTTTCAAAGTTCTTGATACCTCATTAGTTGCTCATTATTTCACTGAGCAAAAATTATCAATTGCTCAATCCATTCAGGTTATAATTGAAATTATTGACCCATATTTTAATAGTGTTTAACTAGAAACCAAAAAAGTTGTTGTTAAGTGATAAGGGAAAATATTAGGGAATACTAATATGCCACTTCCTATAACATTTAAATTTAACATCTATTTAGTTGTATTCTACATCTTTTCATCATAAAACTCAGTTTCTATCCAGGTCTGTTTATAGAAAAGAACAAAGAACTTTCCTATAATACCTAGAAATTTACCTTAATAGCTTTCTTCTAAGAATTAGTGACCAGTCACCATGAAATTAGAGTTGTTACAGAAAACTGCATTTGTTCCATCAACAAATATATTAAAAAATGTTCAACATCTCTAGTAATAAGAGAAATGCAAATCAAAACTACTCTAAAATTTCATCTCACTCCAGTCTGAATAGCCATGAATATAAGCAACAATAACTGTTGGTGAGGATGTGGGGGGACAACTCGTACACTTCTGGTGGGACTGCAAATTGGTGCAACCAAAATGGAAAGCAGTATGGAGACTCCTTAGAAAACTTGGAATGGAACTACCATTTGATCCAGCTATTCCACTCCTCGGTTTATTCCCAAAGGACTTAAAAAACAGCATATTACAGGGACACTGCCACATCATGATAGCTAAATTGTGGAGCCAACATAGATGCCCTTCAATAGATGAATGGATAAAGAAACTGTGGTACATACACACAATGGAAAATTACTCAGCATTAAAAGAGAATAAAATTGTGGCATTTTCAAGTAAATGGATGGAGTTGGAAAATATCATGCTAAATGAAATAAGTCCATCTCAAAAAACCAGGGACTGAATGTTTTCTCTGATAAGTGGATGCTAATCTATATGGGGGGGCATGGGATAAATGGAGGAATTTTGGATGAGATAAAAGGGAGGGGGAAAAAGGGAGGGGTAAGAAAGACAGTGGAATGAGATGGACATCATTACCCTAGGTACATGTATGGTTGCACTAATGGTGTGACTCTACTTCACATACAACCAGAGAAGTGAAAAATTCTGCTCCATTTGTGTACAATGAATTGAAGAGCTTTCTACTGTCATGTATAACTGATTAGAATAAATGAATGAATGAATGAATGAATGAATGAATGAATGAATGAATGAATAAAGTAGATAAGTAATTGCCATGGTAGGAGGTTGGGAGGGAGAGAATGGCGGGGTACTGATTACTAAGTAGTTGTGGCATTTCTTTCCTGGGTGATGAATGTTTTCTAAAACGGATTGTGGGGATGATTATTCAACTCTGAACAGACTAAAAACACTGGACTGTACACTCTAATAGGTGAATTTTATGATAAGTGAATTTCTTCTCAATAAAATTTAAAAAAAAAGAAGAACACTGCATTTGTCAACATAGCTTTTTCAGGTATATAATTGTTTTTGTTCATTTAAATTTGATAGCTCTTTTGCCTCAGGAGATCGAATTGCTAAGTTTATTTGATAACTAATTGTTTTTATGATTTCCTTGATTATCTTATTATAATGAACCAACTAGGGCATAAAGATACAAAGTATCTAAAAAAGTCTTTCCTTTTTGCAAAATTAATTTTAGTAAGTGATGTTAATGAACTATTCAGACAGATTAATTAAAAAGGAAACAGCACAATCTTGTTCTTCCAGCTTACCTAAATTTCTACATTTAGAAAAGATAGTGTTAGAAAGAGCCCATCTGTGTGTCTTTGCAGAGTGACAAATGGCTCCACCAAAAGAAAAGTATTAGTCAGGAATCCAGCAGCATGCCCATTTCTGGCATCATTGCTGCCAAACAAAGACAGCCCTTTCTAGAAATACTTCGGTCAGGACAGGTACTAAGGAAGCCAGGAGCCTGGAACCACGAAGCTGTGCCACTATTTCTCCCATGAGCCAGGGTCTCTGTGTCTAGCTTTCTGAGCACTTTTTACTCTGACTCCTGCCTACGCAGGGCCAAGATGACTCACCTCCAAGTGCTTCCATTATCTGCTCAGGTGTTGGCTCTGGGTGGTTCCTGAGCAGCGTGTAGATAGACATCACCATTCCTGGGCTGCAGAATCCACACTGTGTACCATGACACTTGGCAAGTCTTTCCTGGGAAGCAATGGTACACCCATCATTTATGCTTTAGACCTCTTGTTTCCCTACCTTTGTGCCCCAGTCAGCAGCAGAAGTTGTAGATTCCACTTCTCAGAAATAACTGCAGGGTAAAAGATAACCCCTGGAAGGAAAGCACTTTATTTTTTAAAATCAGATGCGTATTTTTGCCCTTAAGAAAAGCCTAGTAGCAAGTTAATTAAGAAACTTTTATATTTGGAGCCTGTGAAACAGAAAGTGTGGCTTAGAAGAACAACTAACGTGCTTTGGTGTCATTTTCATGTGAGTTTTGGTCCCTCTGGCACCTCCTTTGTTGTGTGAGTTCGGCTGATTTACTTGACTTCTTCATCTATAAAATGAAGATAATGGTATCTATTTTACAGGATCATTATAAATAGTTAAATATGAGCAAATAATTTGCATCCTCTTCTCCAACTATATTACAGAATTTTTGATGAATTTAAGGATATTATCTATATGAATGTTTTGAAAATTGTACAGTGTTGTTCAGTAGTGCTGTGCTATTCATGTACTTAATTTACACAATTCAACCTTTTACGCTCAAATACAACAGAACAACAGAAAAAGAGAAATGACAATTTACTTTGCTCCTTTCAAGAACCCTACGCCATGATGACATAAATGGGAGACAGGACCGTGCATCTGTCCTGTGCACCTCTCAACAACTGCTCAATGGGCCAGCTTGAGTGTGATGCAAATATTTTCAAATAAATATTTTTTCAAAGAGTGCGCCTCTTGAAATGAAAGCCAAACACTTCATCTGTGGCTCAACATAAAGGACAGACATTGTTCTAATGCTAGAAGACAAAATGGTTGTGTTAGATTTATTGCTATGAGGCAATTTGTTTCAGATGTGTCATATAAATCCGGTTTGTAAATGTGCTTGTAAATGTTTAACAACTGGCTCTCTGGGGGAAAACAAGCCCTGATTTATATCTTCTGCCAATTTTCATAGTCTAACTACTTCCACCTCCATAATCCATATTATTTTATAAATTAGGTAATTGTGAGTGTATATAGTTTGATTTATTAATAGGTATGTTTTAAGACTGGCTTGTGAAATTCCTGCACACTGACAATTCATGCTCACAAGTCAGTACAAGCCTGCTCCGGGGCATTGCTGAACAAATCCTACCTTTGTACTATCAAGAGCTTCAGAGAAAGAAATCCAACAAGTATAGCAGAAAGTGTTTGCATAATTAAGGTGATGAGCCAAGCATGGTACAAGATCTTAAATAGAACACAAAGCCATTAAGTTTATGGCTGAAAGACATGCATTATTAGCAAGTGTCCATCAAAGGTAACCAGCTGTCAGCCAAGCTTGGGAGTTCCAAGCACAGCCTTCCAAGAGAAGGAATCTCAGGGGAAGATACTCTTTTATAATTTCTTTTTTCTTCATAGTGCTTTTAAAACTCATCCCAGGCAGAAGTTCCTCTTCTAGTATATAAAACTAACATTGCCATATCTTTAGATAGTCCTCTGAATTTTAGTCAACATCTTGTTATTCTAGTTTTGTTTTATTGTGGTCTGGTGTACTGTTACTTGTCAGATGTTTGGAAAGCATTTGTGCAGTATTCTTACATATGGTTGGGCTCCCTATTCAAGTTCAGTAAATCTGAAAAGTGAGGGGAAAACTAGAACTTTTATAATAAATCTCTGGTTTCTTCTTTCATTTTCTTCTCCTTTCAGATTGGACTTTTCTTTTGGTTTAGGGCAAAGATGGGGCTGAGAAAGTTTCTTGGGGTTAAGATCTATTACAATCAATGAAAGAATTTTTAAAAGATCCCTGAAAAGAGCACTAGCAAATGAAGCACTGAATGTCACAAAATAAGAATTTAAAAGCCCAAAGGATGTCAAAGTTGGTGACCAAATGGGAGGTCACTAGACTCGGTTGGGGATTCCCATACCATCAGCTGGTCCCAATCATTGTGCTCTTACCTGCACGGGATGAATCCTGGTTTTGATGCTCCCTACACCTTCCACAGTGGTGACAGCGGCCCCGTACAGAGAGCAGATGGGCACCAGGCATGCTGTCACGGGATAATGGCTGCAATGAATGATGTAAAGAGAACACACTGGAATTGCAGGAGTGGGTGACATTTGGGGGATGACAATTCAGTCCAGGAAGAGTCACAATATTGTTTTTCCCTGGGAACACAGAGCAGACTAGCTATAGGGACATGCACTCCTGGATATGTCAAGAAAGGACCTACATATAGCTGGTAGAATGCTAGAGAGGAAAGGAAAAGAAAGTAAAGGCTTTCAAGGACTTCTCAGAGACTTCCATTCTCCAGTTCTATTTTATTTTTTTCTCGTTCTAGAGAAAGGAATTCAGAAGGTAATATGTTGATTTCTGAGAACTACCATGGGAAAGTTTAGCCAAGTGATTCTCAACCATGAGAAGTTTTACAAAATACAGATACTCTTGGTGTATTAAATTAAATCAGATCAACTAGTGACATTTAACTGATGACTTCAATGTGTGGCTGAGTTTGAAAGGCACTGTTTCCTGCCCTTGTCTTGGCCACCTGTCCCACACTAGTGTCTATTTTAATGGCATGGTAGGTGCGGTGAGTACTGGAGTCTCATCTCATTGGTTGGGAATGGGATCCAGACATCATTAGCTAAATTTAGCTTGTTGAGTCCCACTCAGGCTAAGTCCCATCGTCTTTTCAGGTGTGGGGAGTGTTCCTTTCTCAGGGAATGATTCTTCTACCTGGGCTGAGGGTATGACTGCCGTTCTTCTGAACAAAAACCAAGTTCCGCTCTTGGTTCCACCCTCCTTGAGAATCATCAAAGCTGTGTGGAAGTCACTCAGCTGACTAGTGAGGGACCCAGGAAGAGAGCTTGGTGTACAGAGCTAGGGCAGACCCCAGGCACATTGGGCAACAGATCCATTTTTGGTTTTTATGTTCTCCAGTTCCTTCGCTCCTAAGATTTGCTTCCTCTTAGTCTTCTCTTCCTATCCCATTTCTCTCTGTGACACTCCCAGTGTTCACTGCTCTCGTCTGTCTTATCCTGAGCCTCATCTAGGGAATAGAGGCATGAGCTCTCTTCACCTGCTGGCCGAGACTGCTCCTCTGATCTGCATCATTCTTACCTCCATTCAAGGATCGGTAGGTGAGAAACTATCAATCCTCCTCCTCCCCTGTGCTCTGGATCCCATTTACTCTTGACCTCTCATGGACTTTCCCTGTCCTCCATTGTTTTACTATCCACTTCCTTTCTAGGGTCTCATTTCCCTAAATTCTTTTGCATTGAGAAATAAAATCAAGTGTTGGCCATGATAAAACAAAAAACAAAACACTCACATCTCTCTCTAGCATTGACCCATCTTTTTTCCCTTTCTTGCTCAAGTTTCTTCAAAATCTCTCCACCATTTCCTTGCCTTCCAATCATGCCTGTAGCAACTGGATTTTACCTTCCGGCTCTATCTTTCTGCCAACCTTGCCCTGGCAGCAATCTAGTGTTCCCGGGTTAGGGTTAGGGTTAGGGTTTGAGGTTAGGGTTAGGGTTTCACAATAGTGATCACCACTATCTTCTTGGAACCTTCTCCATTTGATAGTCTTCCTTCAACTTTGGAGACTCTTTTGGTCTCCTGTGTGGGGGCTTCTTTCTTTGCCCAGTTTCCTTTCTATTGTCCTACAGTGTCTCACACTTCTACTCTCTCCTGTAGTTCCCACTGCCTTTTACATGATGTGGGATGAAAACATGCCTTTGCTACTCACTGACCCAAGAAACCTTGAGAAAGTTATTTGCCTTGGTTTCCTGTTTTCAAAATGTGAGTGAATTTAATGTCTATCTCAAAGTTGTTTGGGGAACTTAATATGATCCTATACGTAAGCTACTCTGAATAGTGTCTGTATGCAATAAGCACTCGATAACTGTTAGTTATTTTTATTAGCATTGTTATTGTTAGTATTGATGATATAACATTAAGTTATAAGCTCTAAATGAGAACTCTTCTTTAAATAACAGAACAATCTAGAGTTCTGCTGGACAGTCCCTCTGAAGTGTCCCATAATTACCCTAAATGCAATGTGTCTCTAGCTAAATTTACCCCTTTCCAAGTTTTCTAATTTAATTTGTAAATGCCCCCTGCCAAGTTTCCTAAGGCAAAAACTTGGCAATCATGCTAGAAAACTCTCCCTTCACCTCTACATTCAATCAGAGCACAGATTTCATTTCTAGGTCAAGGTAATGTTGGTTCAATTGCATGGCATGATTTGAGGAGTCGTTCAGCACTTCTGAGCAAACAACTCTTCTCATTGAGTTGACCTACATCTTCCAGCAAGACTATCATTTCTTTCCATTAACCATTGTTGCCTGATACACACTCTGAAATCTCTTATTCAAAAACAAAGCAAGTGTTTTTGCAGCAATAGAGAGCAGAGCCCTGAGCGACTGGCACATGGGCCAATACATTCTGCCAGAAAGAACATCCTTGGGAAAGATCTGGAGGCAACATGACTATGCTAGATTCCTGGAAGGAGATGGGAGGGGCTCATGGCCACAGCAAAAGTGAGAGGCTCCACACCCTGCCAGAGGCCAGAGCTGAGCCAGGCTAACACAAAGGATACTGGATCTTCTTGGTCTTGGGGTTGTATCTGGACACCATCACCGTGCAGGCGCCACAGCCTCCTCCCCCACAGCCATATTTTGTGCCTGTGAGACGGACTGGGGGAAGGGAGTTAAGGAAAAGGGGGTACCTGGCTGCTTTGGTTTTCACATTTCTCTCCTTTGGAGACTGATAACAAGCAACATGTTTCCATGAGTCTTGTAACAAATTGGCCAGTTTCCTGCTTATGTATGATCTTTTTGCTTATAAATGAGCTCATTGAGAAAGGTGAGAAGAAATCCCAAACCCACACTGCCTTATCTGAAAACCTCGGGTCCAGATGCATTTCCAGATATAAAAATTTTCAGATTTTCCCAGTGGGCCTAGAGAAGTCTCTTGTGATCAAACATGGATACTTCTGCAGTGACCCATATGGATATTCACACAAGTAGGATACCCAAAGACTACTTGAGCCTCACATTTGTTGGGTCAGAGTTTGCATCTAAATGAGTTGTGAAAAAGTCCACAGTAAAAAGTCCAGAACTGGACAATGGATTCAAAACTCATGTAGTGTTATTGCTACAGAGTGATGGAAGGAGTTTGTGTGCAGAACTTAGAAAAATCCACCCCCAACCCCATGAGGTTTAACTTTCTCAGGTACAGCAATGTAATGCTTTTACTTTCTAATGGGATTAGTTGAGTCAATAATATCAACCATCACTGTATATCTTCTTCCTATAAGACATCTGCATATTTTCACAAATAATATATGCAAATCCCCTACTTTAGGTTCTAGTGGAATTGCATCCAAGAATCTATTGGAATTTGCTTGGGACATTTTCTGGATGAAGTTTAAAAAGGATTTCATGGTGAAATTTATAATTGGCTTGGGTGGAGGCTAAGGCTCATTTTTATCTTGGAAATTGCTGCCCAGGAGAGGTAATGCAGGGTCAGGATAACCCTAGTGGTGGAGTAAGGGGAAGTTCTTTGCAGCAGCCCAGACAGGCTGCACATTTTCTGCTTTGTTCTTTAGTCCCCATCTGAGCCAGCTAAGCCATCTCAGGGTTGCCAAGCCAGGCTTTCCACTTCCAGGCAGAGGGCTGAAAGTGAGTGGCTCACATCTTAGTTGAAGTGCTCCATTGAATGGGGCATGAAAGGCAAGGAAACCTTCTGTTTCTGCTTTTGGAAATTCCTGAAATTTCCAAATAAAGAATCAAGTGCTATCTGGCTCAGAGACGAGGGTCACTTTTCACTTCCTCAGAACTTAAAAACAGTCTGTGACATGCATTTTAAAGTTGCCCTGAGTGGAAAGTGAAAAATTGATTCTGGATGCCCAGTAGCTGGTTTGACGGCCCCTCCCTTCACCCTCGCTAGGAGTTCCTGACAGTTCCTTCCATATTCTTGTAGAGTCATCTCAACACTCATCATCAGGTAAGGTTGCCAGACAGAGCACAGGACCTTCAGTTAAGTTTAACTTTTAGATAAACAATGGGAATATTTAGCATGTCTTACACACTCAGATTCAAATTTAACTGGGTGTGCTATATTTTTTTATATGCCTAACACAGCAACTTCAGTCAAACTGACTTAGGTCAGTTATTGTTTGTTCCTTTACACTGAAGAGCCTTTTTGGTGACCTATTCATAGCCCAACAATATATCCCAAAGTTACTCCAACACTAAGTGGGCAGGTAGTGTGCACAGGGATTGTGACTGAAATGCGAAAGAACCAAAGTAATGCCATTTTGTTCTGACCTAACTCCATTGTATGCTTGCTTAAAATGTTTTCTTTGCAGCCTCCTGACAGTACAGTAGGACCTTCCAGCATCCCTGACTACGGCCCTGATGTATAACAAAATGACTCTAAAATGTATAATCAAAACAATTCTCTCATATGATCAAAATTATCTGTCTCAACAGGGTCTTTCTGACCTACATGTGCCTCAGTTGTTCTTATGGTTTTTTTCTTTGTAAACTCTGTACTTCCAAAATTCAGGTGCTGGGAGTTCTTTGGGGCGTTAGCCTGCTCCCAGCTGTTTGCCTGGCATGCTCATTAAAGAACCTTTTATTCCCTTTCAATTTGGCTTAGTATGTTTGGTGGTCTGTAACTCTCATGCACTCTGTGACAATGACATCAGCCAGACCTGGTCCTTTGCTTCAAGGACCTCATTCCTTATTTCTCCTTCATTTGCCATCATAGCCTCGCACCCCACCTCCAGCTCTTTGCAGCCATCAGGACTCCCTTCTGTTCCTCGCAAGCACTCTATTCTCTGGCCACTGACTGGAATGCCCTTGGTTCCAAGTTCTATTTGCCTTGAAATGGCCTACTCGACCCTGGTCCTTTCCTTCCCTCCCCAAGCCCAGGGTGAGTGCCCCTCCCTATGCGCCATGACATGGGGCTCACCCCACTTCCTCTGTGCAGCCCACAGTTTTTTAGCTTACTTTAGAATACCCCGTGCTTGATAAAATCAGCTGAATAAAATTAAGAAGTGTTTTCAGAACTGCAAGCAATATCAGGGCTCTGGTGAGGGGTGGGTGAAGAACAAATGTTTGGGGGTGCTTCTAGGACCCCTCTCCCCCGAAGTCATTAGTTTGATTCTAGAGTCAGGATTTCATGGGAGATTAAACAACTCTAATGTGCTGCATCTTTCTTGCCCCAAGTAGCTGTGGACCATTCAGCCTGGGGTGCATCATCTTGTTCTGCAGGTTGCTTAAAACCAGGCTGGAAGGTGCTGAATGAGTAGGGATACAGGATCCACTGGCAGGTCTGGGTGGGGCGGTGGGGGTTTTGGGGTGTGTCAATGGGAAGTTGTGGGCATCTGAAGGATCCTCTGACCTTGGGCAGGGAGGGAATGGGACAGTGGAAGAGAGGTGCAGATGCCTCCAAAGTTTGCTCTTTGTGTGACTGTGTTCTACTCTGGGGATGACTGCTAAGCTAAGGCCTGAGTCACTAGTATATTAGGGTTTTATGGGATCCTAAAGTTTTTGCAATATGGATGACATGATTTAAAGGAAAAATTATACACATTCACACACACACACACGTCTGGGAAGACGTAGGTACAGAGTTTTGGAAGGACTCACAGGAGTCCTGTGAAAGAGAAGTAGGATGATACTGGCAGAAGAGTCTGTGGTTATTCACAAATATTCATTTCTAGAGTAGCCAATCATCATAACAACCCACTTGAGGAACAAGTTTTATAACACCCCTGACCCCATTACAGAACTGTACAAAACTGTTCACTCTAATTGTAAAGTTAGGATCTGGTGGTACCAGGCAATTCTTACTGGCCCAGAACTGCTTATTTATATTAGGCACCCTCAAGGAATGAACAGAGGCAGGTGCTGAGGAAAAGCAGGTGGGGGCGCTGTGGGTGATTTTTCCTAGGGCTAGTTCTGGCAATGTTTGCTTGGAAATTTGTGAATTTTCAGTTTTCTCCTAATATAGATCTATTTCCTCATTTTAAGATGCCAGAGAAAGCAGGGGGAAGTGTGATTGGTATTTAGAAATAATATAAAAAGGGAGTGATAGGTCCTGCTGATTTCTAGTATGATTTTGAAGGGAGATAGATGGGAAATGGCAGGAGTGGAGAGGGAGGATTTGGCCCACCTGGAATGTAAGTTGAATAATGATCTTAGGAGGCAGTACTGGGCAGAGTGGTAAAAGATGGGTAGGAGACCAGACAACAAGGTACTAAGTAGAGAGAGATGGAGTCTGAGAGAAAACAAGGGTGAGGTACAGTATATTTTTTTAGCTAAGTGTCATGGTAAGAACAGGGAGTATTGAAATAGTCTTCAGATATGTATGTTGGGGGCAAAAAACACAGAGAAAGAGGATAATATTGGCTTGTTCATCATTGGCTAGAGCCTAACACAGTTCCTAGAGCTTTGTATGTGCTCAATGAGTATATATTTTAAATTATTATTTTAAATAATTATAGTTGCACAGGAAGTTTGCAAAGTAGTACTGACAGCCCTGTACATTCATCACCCAGCTTCCCCCAACTGACCCAACTGATGATACTCACATAGTTATAGTACAAATTAGCACCAGCAATTTGACATTGGCACAGTGTTGGCAACTAGAGTGCAGAACTTATCCTGAGCTCACCTCTTATACACACACTCAGGTACATGCATACATAGTTCTATGCAATTTGTGCTCATATATAGATTTGTATAACCATGGCCACATCTGGTCCTAAGTACCAGCTCTTTATAGTTGCACCCAAATCCAAGGAATTCTCCTTGAATACTGAAGATCTACTGAAAGTCTCAGAGGAGTGTGAAGTTAAGAGCAGAGATGGAAAGCTTGAAGGGCATTAACTATACTTTGGGATTTTGAAATACATTAATAATACTTGTTTTCTCTGATAAGGATGACCCAAGGGCATAGGACCAGTCAGTAATATGTCTTGTGGAACACTCTTGCCTGTGACATGCAACTATGAATATTTAGCTGGCCAGAAATTTGGCTAGACACATTTACATCAATAATATTCCTGAATATGAAACAAGCATCAGAATGACCACTGGGCTCCAAAGTCATAAGTTATTTCCCAAGTGAGCACAGTCATGGTTCTCTGGATGCTTCTTTTGGTTTTGCTCAGGTAAAAAAAAAATGCATCAAACAAAGCACAAATTGATAGATTCATTCTCTGAACTCCGACTAGACTCTGCCAATGGAACATAAGGTCATTATCTAGAACAAATTCAGGTGACTTTCTTGATAGTTCTAACCATGTTCACATCTTACTACCCGATTCAGATGGATTACAGCAAAACACAAGGATATGAACTTTCCTCACGTAAAACAGCAGATTGACTTCAGGATCAGCATTCTTCTCTATTACCTACATTGTGAAATGGGAGAAAGGAGATTAGGAAGACAACATCAACATGTTATGGCAATTCTAGCCATTGCTCTGACGGCACATCTTTGATGTGGGTGACTTTCCAAGAGAAACATAACAAAGAAATCCTTTACTACTTGGAACCAGAATTTTGAAAATATACTGCATTTTCTGATGCCTGAATTTTCCAATATACCTGATGATTATTTGACCCCAACTTACCTGAAAAGGGCTCAGATGGGGAACGGATACACAGATTCCAAAATTGACTCAAATAACTCATGGCCACAGAAAGTCATTAAATTGGTTAGGCAGAGATGATTTCCTAAAACCAGGGCTATTGTTTCCCTACTTCTGCATCTAGTTCTCTGTGTCTCCCAGTGAAACAGGGAGGCTAAGGTGTGAGGGAAGGCAGAGGAAAAACGAAAAGCAAGTAGGAGCCCCATGTTTTAAAAATTGGGCAACATTTCAACTACTGACCCAAGTTTATACCACTATATGACTTCAAACAGAAGAAGACAGAAGTTAAGGAAATATTAAATGAATGGCATCACAGATGGGGTAAAAGCTTGATTTTATCCCTGGTATATGAAAATTCATGTTAATCATGTCATGAACTTACCTTTCTTCCATTCACAAAAAAGATCAGCTCATCAGAATTGGAAAGGGAAGGCATTATGCCAAAAAATAAAAAATTGCTTCTACCAGGATAAAGAACGTCTTTTTTTTTTCTTTTTTATTCCTTTTTTTTTTTTTTTAGCAGATATGTTAGAGCAGGATCCCAGATACCTATAGGCCTTGGGGAAGCTCAAGTGGGCAGCGCAGACTGACACAGGGCGATTTATAGTCTCGCTGGCAGTCCAGATGCACCAACCAGGGCTCTCACCTGCCTGCCCACATGCACTTCCAGCAGCTCTTGGCTGTTCTCCGTTCCCTTCAGGGCTATGAGTGAGTCAGCTCACTGCCTTTGCGTTTCTAAGACTCTTTTCCCCTGTGAAATGGATTTGAAGTCAGGGACTGATAAACAAAAAATGAGTTTTTAACAGGATATTATTTACTTAAAAATGAAATAAGCTATCAATCAATATAACACTATCAACATTAATGAGATTTTAATGTTTTTTTTTTTTTTTTCTGGAATGAAAGCGCAAAGGGAGATTCCACTGTGCACACAATGAAAGACCTCATAAAAATTTGTTTTTAACACTTGATTATAACAACCCACAAGAACATTCTCTCTCCTTAACAATTTTGGCACTCCCTTTTAAAAATTTAATTGTTCAAGACATCAAGTTATTTTAAACATTGACCTGTGCATAGATTGGTCATAGGTTGGAGGCTGTTCTTAGGGCTCTTTTCATCCCACAAGAGCTCAGAGAAAACTAAAGTACAGAGATTTTAAGCAACTTGCCTAACACTACACAGCCCATGAGCGGCAGGATTACTCTGGAGTCTGTATCTTTAACCTCCTTCCAGTGTTGCAGATGGAAGCCTGACAGGAAATGAGGCCAGGAGTAGTTAGAGACCATATTATACCAGGAGGCTGTGGAAGTGGGGTGGGGGTTTTGCAGAGGCTTCTAAATAGAATGGGAAGTCCCCAGAGGGTGTTGAGCTGAGGGTGATAGGATTGGATTCAAGTTTTAAGAAGACTGCTTTGGCTGTCAGGTGGGGAATAAAGGGTGGGGCAAGTGTGAGACAGATATGAAGTTGTGACTGTGGAGGAATTAAGGGATGAGAAGGCATGGACTAGGGGGAGGGTGGGGGGAGGCAGGAAGGGGCCAGACTGCTGGCAGATTGCCTGTGGTATGATAGGGGAGTCAAGCAGCTGGATTTTCTCTGAGGAGTCTCTCTGGTGCTTATTTCTTCCATTACTCTGTCCTTTTCTCCCTGCCCTGCATCTTTCTGGTTTCCAGACACTGCCTTGCACAGGGAGCACTATCAATAATCCAACCTGCTGCCAGGCCAATGAGCAAGACTAGAGACTCTCCTTCGTCCAGGCATGGGTCCTTTTACTTCCTCTTTTCGTTTTCATTATTTTACTCTTTAATGTCATGTCACCTTTATATATATATATTCCTATGCCCTTTATATATATATTTTTCCCAGTTCATTTCTTATATCATCTTCTCCTTATTTTCCCCTTTAAACAAATCATGTATGATCACAATGAAATTGCACTGGAAATTAATGATAAAAAGATAAACAAAGGATATACTACCATGGGTAAGTTTTAAAATAAGATTCCTAATTCGTTAGGCTCAAGAAAGGAATAAAAAGAGAAAATATAAAATATAGAAAATAAAAGACAATACTATGTATATATCAAAGAAATCTATGAGATGCAACTAAAACTATATTTGGGGTGAAATTTCATAGCTCTAAATGTTTTGACTAAACTAGAATGATTTAAAATAAAAGCCCCCCAAAAAGGTAGTAGGAGAAAAACAAATCAAGAAAAATTAGAATATGTACAAAACAAAGTCAAAAGTAGAAAAAAATTAAGAAAATGGGGAAAAGAGTAGTATTGAAAAACAAAACAAAAATTTCTTTGAAAATCTAATAATAAAAATAACAAATGTGATTAAGCAAAAATAAAATTAGAATAAGAACTAAGATGTCACTATAACGTTCTACTTTATGCCTATAAAAATAATTTCACATATACTACCAACTTTGTAATAGGATAAATGGGCTTCAACAGAAAAAAAATAATTGAATGTCATATATAGGTATCATGGGAAGCAAGTTTGCCCCTAAGGTAATGAGGACTTCCTCATAATATGTCTCTGAGGGCTCTGGCTCTGGAGGCATCCTTCCTAGGGGCATCCCTCATCTCCCTTCCTAGGGGCATCCCTCATCTCCCTGTCCAGACATCTTCCTTTGACCCATCCACCTTGGACTTTTTCCAGTCCTCTCTGTCAGTGTCATTGGTCTCCTTTCAGTCTTAATATTTTTTTTTTTTCCATCATCAAATCCAGGGTTCTTCTATTGAAAGCTCTTGACCACTTGGCAGTCAGTTTAAGAAGGTTAATTTCTAGATGGTTTACATATGTGCATATGTTCATGAAATATAAGACACAGTTCCTGCCTTCAAGAAACTGACAAGTGTGTTTGATGATTCAATTAAAAAAATGCAAAGCAAGATTAAATGCACAGACACAAAGCTGAAGTGCTACTGTGAGGCTCCAAGGGAGCAGAGGATGTGGAAATGGAAACTGGAAAGTGACATGCAAATATTGACTATTATTATGTACTATTTTTATTGCTGTAGTTCCAACAGAACGTGCTGAGAGCCTGGATGGTATAAAAATTACCTCCCTGATTTCCTATTCCTGCTTAGCATAACATCCTTTATTCTCTTCACTTGTCACACAAGTTGTTCCTACACTGAAATGTCAGGGATGAGAGGGAGAGACACCCCAAAAGGGAAAGGTGAGAGGGAACAAGTGGGAATCCAAAAAGGATTTACTGAAGTGAGTGGACTTGTGCTGCCATGTGCAAAAGCAGCTTGTTGACATTCATGGCCCCTAAAAAGTTTATATATTTAACAATTGGACAAAAAGAAGTCTCTAGCGTGCATCATTCAGTATTTAAACATTTATATTAGAATACTCCAGACCAGATAAGTAGGTTTTGAACACTGAAAATATTGAGTGTTTATGTCTTTAGAACCTAATCGGTAGGCATATTGAGTACAGTTACTTGGCCATTTTTACCTGGGCAGATTTATTTGGGTCATTAAAGACAATCCTCATTTTGAATATTGTCATAGAGGAAAAAAAATCAATGAAGAGGAAGAGGCTAAACATTGCTTTGTTAGAATTACAGTGGCGAATCTTTCCATACTGAAGAAAACTAAGTTTTAGGAATAACATCTTAAATAAGTCACTTCACAAACTGCAAGCAAGAACCACAAAATCATTTCTGTTTTCCCAGTTTTCCTCAGAATAGGAATATTGTGGTGTAGGTATTCATTTTGTCTATAAAGTCAGCACAAATTGAAAGGTGCTGTATTGATTGATTTAAACACCATATTTTTGTTGATGCTTCAGAAGCATCACTGCTTATGTGTACAATTTGAGATTATAAAATATTTTGTAAATATGCAAATTTAAGATTTGCCTCTAACTTGCTATATATTTTAGATAAGATGTTCATAGTGTGACTTCCTGAGCCTTTAAATCCATCAGAAAATTAATTTCTGTTCTTGAACCCCAAACATTAGGGAATGGGGATGGACCAGGGTTTGCTGCAATTAGAATCAGTCTGTGAAACCTAAAAGAAAACTTCAGAAAAAGATTAAGAAAGAAGGTTTAAAAATATTTTAAACTACTTGAATAATTAGCAACAAAATAGTTTATTTTTAATAAGACATTTAATCTATTCTTCAATGATTATTTCACTTGTATAAATGACTTCTCTTTCTAAACAGAAATTTATTAATTTTTGGATAAATAAAAAAGAATTTCTAATTCTTTAACAAACTAAATTTCCACAACAGTCTGGAAAAAAATTAAATATGTAATAAAAAAAGAAAAGCTAAATACTCCAAGTAAAATAGAATTTATATTTAGACTATCAAAATTTTCTTTTAACAATCTTTCATTTAATAAGAGAAAATTTAAAGATGGATAATTTTATTTCACTAATATTCAGGAGGGTAAAAATTTATCTAAGAAGTAAATTCATATTTATTGCATAAAATAGATTTTCCCATTTTTTCTCAGTATGTAGTCAGTTCTGACAAACCAAAAAGCATGACACATTCATAGCATAATTAGTTTAAAAGACATTTTCTTTCTTTAAATGTTTTTCTTACACATGTAAAGAAACATGAGAAGAATCATTCAGAGGGTGTTTTGCATTACTAGTCATCTCAGTTTAGTTGATTTAGTTGCGGGGGGGGGGGGGGGTCATTTAATTTAAAGCAAGCATAATAAGTTTGCAAAATTCCAGTAATGAAATACTGTCTTCTGTATTTTATGGCTGAGAATCACAGGTAGTTTTCTTTTTTGGTGATACATACAAGCAGTTACACACAAAGATCACAATTTTGCTATCCAAAACCATCACTGCTTATAACACAGCTTGCTTTTGATACTTTTCGGAGTGAGGATTTGATTTCTAATTTTCTAAATTCATTTTCGGCTGCTAGGGAAAGAGGGTGAATATAATCTGAACACCGATTATTCTGTGTGGCAAACATACAGATGAGTCACTGGGCTCATTCAGTTTCTTGCACTAGAAAAAGAATTCTAACAATGTGTCAAATTAACTCGATCCACATCGGCACCACTCACCACCCTGAGCAGCTAGGCTCCTTATGCCATATACTCTTTAAGTTCTTTATTGATTTCCTAGATCCAGCCCTGCTGCTTTGTTCTATCCAGAGCAGAACTTTAAAACACAGGATACCCTTGTGCAGTAATGAAATACTGCACCCAATATTCTCAGAGAGGTTAGGCTGCTGGTGATACAGTCCTCAAATGAACCCTGGCACATTTTTGTCTCTGCGTTAGTTTCAAGGGCAAAAATATCATATTGTTCCCACACTTGAGAAACCAGGTGTTTGCTTCAATGAAACTCTTTCACCTGCATTCAGCAGGCATTAAAGGAGGATGTGTCCATTTCTTAAAATCACAATATACATCCCTTTGTACTTGCATCATGTCAAGA